TGCAACGCCTGGGGCCGAAGTTTTGTTGCTAAGATTTGCGAGCGCGCATGCTCAAAACTACATTACAAAGCTGTGTCATTAATTAATTCTGACTTAATGTTGAACGCATTGAGACAAACATGGCTTGGCTATGTTAGGACAAATTGCTGACCCATTTCGATCTACATCTGCGCGATAATATCTCTATACACATAAATAGGTTCTGACTAAGCTTCTTAGTTCTGCGGTTTAGAAAAAGTCTACTGGACCATTGTAAAATGAAGAGCGCCAGTGATTTATTTCATACAGTTGTTTAATGCATGATTTCTTCAGTTGATTGACTGCAAAATTCTGGTAGCGTTGATCTCGGGGTATCTTCCAACTTGTATTCTAGTTCCGAAAAGTAAAATATAGAAATATAAAAGAAAAACATAACCTCGTTAATAAATGGGCTATATTCAGCTATGATACCAGAGGGTCTTTTTAGACCTTATGCCGCTCCTCTGCCAAGGCTTTAGCTGTGCACCTCTTTGTGACCACCCATGGGTGGCAGCTGATCCCAGCAGCTGTTGTGAGTGAGTGCTGCGCGTGAGTGTGGGTGACTGCTGTTTTGTTTTTATGATTGTTATTTACAATTCGATCTTTTTCAAACCAGTCTCATTTTGCAACACGATCTTTGCCTACGTTCAGGTACCCATGAAATGATTCTACCTTGATCTGGCAGTGTATGTCGGACTGCTGTTTGTAGGTATGCATTTGACGCTGATCTCCCCGCGCTTTTATCAAACAATTGCGTGTTTCAAGCAGAGCCTGTACTGTCTCCAGACAGTTACAAGTGACGCAAAAGCATGCTTGAAAGCTAAGTACATGCAGCTTGCAAACAAACTTGTGTTTCACATTTGTACGGGGTTTTGAACTGAAATAGACATCTTACAGATCATTCGATGAGGTTCACACCTCTGTCCTGAGGACTCCAAACTCCCTAGTTTCTGAGCTACGTGCCCGCGAAGATGTGCAGATTATTTCGCAGACTATTTCAAGGTTACCTTGGCATTCATGACGCCAAAACAAAGCTATTCAAATCCTGTCATTGCACTGGCCATGCGGTATTCAGGGTTAAAAAATAGAATTATCGAGTCGTTCATATCAGGCGTTTGTGAGCACCATTTCCAGCTGCAGCAGCCATCAATTAGCTCATTACGTTTTATGCTACATAATACAAAAGTGACCCACGGCAGAGAGTACTCACGAGAGTACTCAGAGACAACGTACGGATAAACATGACACAGAAAGGGCCAAAACACGAACTCAGAGCGATATTTGGCCCTGCGAATTATTCCAGCCCCCAGATTCGTGCTGCCGTCTCATGGAGTTAGAACTACAAGTGAATGCTGTCAAACAAATGTTCCATGGCGCAATTTAACAATGACGTAGTATGGAGCATATTTGCAACAGTATACCAACTGTTATAAGTTAGCATATTTCATCATATCTGATGCTTGCTACAACCTCTCTAAGTGTGGAATGACGTTCCAACCCTTTAACCCGACTTATCCTTTAAATGACATTCGTTCCACCGAGGGTGTGATCTTGATGGCAGAATCTGTCTTAAGCCATCAATGGCCGCTTTTCGTCCAGGCGAAAACTTGATGAGATGATAGCTTCCAGGCGTGGCATCATAAATTCTTCACTGATGATTGGAGTAATTACACACGTGCTAGAACAAGACCTGCATGTCAATATGATCAATATTGACGGCCTTGGATAGTGACATTATATATCACTAGTGGCGGCTGTTATAAGGCATTGAGTAGTGATTCATTTGTGTATCTTCATGATCCGGCTTTGGCATGAGGCCTGTTCTTTTATGGCCTAATTTCCGTTGGCGTTTCGGATATGGGTGTTGTTTAAAAGTAAACTTGCAGTACATGCAGCCTGCGTGTAAAAACCCTTACCTATAGCCAATAATCTAAACATATAATCCCTTGAACCTCATGTACCCCTTTACTGGCAGTAGCCTCCCAGAAGCTTGAATGTTTCAAAATCTCTGCTAATAATGGCGGGTGTGAAACGCGTTATAACTCGGCCAGAGGACATAGGATGACGACATGCCACTTTTTAAGAGCGAAACGCATTCTATCCATTCCAATGCTATATCATTCAAGCATCTGTGCGATGAAGGAAACATGACCTTTGGACAGCGTCCAGTACACTATACTCCGGCTGTGATCTGCCGGAACTACTATAAATGAAGCTGGTGTGAATGGGGATACTATTAACGAACTGCTTTTGATGTCACGTTTATGAAAGGAAGTACATTTAATTGAATTGCAATTGATTGAGCTGCTTTTAACCGAGGTGCAACTAACTGCACCACAATTAATTGAGGTTCTATTATCTGAACTATTATTTATTCAACTACTGTTAACTGAACTACTGTTAATGATCCTGCTCATTCATCGCTCGATTATGGTCTTCAACAGTATTGCAGCATTATGGTGTGTTTTGCCGAATACGCTTGGCCAGTACACTGTAACAAAAATAACGCTTGTAGAGCTACTTGATGGACATGGTACCAACTAAGCGTTGGGATTAGCACGGGATGAGGTGTTCGTGCCTTGAATAAGCCATGTCAGTGGCCAATTTTAAAAAATCCGACGTCATTCAGGGTGTACAGGAATGATGCGTTCGTGTCTGTCGCATGCACGCACGTGCGTGTTGTTTATTTATCAGCGAATCAGTGTGTGTTTAGATATCGCATTTTATGTTAAGTCTTGGCAGGATTTCGCAACGGGAAGGGCACAATTTAGATTTTGTTAAGGAAATCATATTCTAGCGCACTCGGCGCAATGTACTTCATGCATGTGTGCTCAATTGCTTCCTTTTGCGTGCTTAATTAGTTTCGTATTGTGAACATTTTTAAGCGCATGTCGACGCTGCAGAAAGGATGATAAGAGGTCACGCTCCCGGCCCTCCTCTAATAGGTCCTTTTGTTATTGATGAGACAAATGAAATCTATTGAACTCCTCGCTTCGGTCGCTGTTTTTTTAGTCTTAAGGTTGGATAGGACACATTAGGCAAAGGACCTGCATCTGATCTCAAAAGCTAGACATTGCCACCACCCTGGAACATACCCGGATGTCACACTGCAGCTCTGAAGGGATGAGTTTGCGGAACGGAGGCAGGGGACGGGCCTGAGCAGAACAGCCTGAATATGGATTTTTGTGGAAACTTGGCAATTCCATTGTGGTGAAGGCCACGACACAACCGGTAACAAATCATCTTTGCCCGTTCCTCTTTCCAGCGACCCTCGCTTTGAACATTTGCACACAAGCCACACCTCTCCTCGCGTGGGTTCCAATCCAATCGATATATGTGTATATCTATATATATATATATATATATATATATATATATATATATATATATCCCCGGTCGGGCAGCGGCAGCGACGCCACTGACAGCGGGCGCCGCTGCGGCTGCCCGGCACAAGCGCCGCTTGGCGACCGTGCGCCCCGAGCTCATCAGCGCTGCCCGGCGGCCGTGCGCCGGGGTCATCAGCGCCGCTGGGCATGGGCCATGAATTACCAGTCGGTAAGTGGAGCGGCGGCAGCGGGCGGGGCGGGTCGGGTCGGGTTTCAGGGGACGCGGCGCCGGCTCCGATCCCGGAGACGCTCGCAGTGACGCGGAGCCGCCCGGGACACCTGCAACGTGGCGTGAGCCGCGTGGCAGTGGCTCCTATTGTTTTGGCAGGAATCAAGTAGTCGCTGCGGGAGGAAACCGCCAAAGGTTGTGGGTGCTAGTTATGGGGGCATTACAGCTGGGTTTGAGCGGCGTTAGCTATATTTGATGTCGGGATGGGCGGCGTTGGAACCGCGTCGAGGTACCACAAAAAACAAATCTGGGCGGTCGTAGCTTGTACCTGAGTCCCGGTCGCTGATTCTGCGTTTTTTAGCAGAATTTTCCTTTGTGTATCGAGATTTGTTGCTTGCTCAGATATGAATAACAACTTCGTAATGTTGAGGAAAAAGCTCAACTGCTACATAACTGTAAGTATTTGACTAATAACAATCAATCGTCCTTTCCTTTCAGAGCGCATGCGTGCGATATGCGGTACCGCCCCCACAAGGGTGTTATCTCATGCGATACCGCTGCCATGGCGGCGAGCGTGCGCGCGCCCATCGTGTCGATGGGCGGGAGCGCTACGAACGCAACAAAGGCAGAATAGACTTCCACCAGCGTGTTTAGCTCGCTCTTCACAATCGACGCGTGGATTCGACACGCTGTGATTGCCGTGCATTTTGTTGTGGCTTTGTCTAGAAATGTTCCGCGAAATCGCTGATGGTGACTTAGTACCTCAGGGCAGTTTGTCGGTGAGACGATGCAGGGTCTAAGCGACCGATCTTCAAAAAACCGTAGCGTCATCTCCTGGCCACTTCCAGCGATGGGCGAACATCACAACAGGCCCAGTGCCATCATCCGGTCTTTCAGTGTGGAAATCCCTGCTTCGCGGACTTCAGTTCTGGGGCGTCGGACACGGGCGGGGTGGGAGTGGGTGACGGGGAGAGGGCGGTGGCGTCAGGAGTCTCCCAGGCAATCGCAGCCTCCGGCGCTAGCCCTGGCTCGTGACGCAATTATCGCCGGCTGATTGCGTTGCTGCACCTGAGCTGACAGCCCCGGTGCCGCGCTACCAAAGGTCATGACCTCACTCGACCGCAGCGCATGTGGGATCTCCTGAAGGAGCCGTCTGTGATTTGGAACGATGTTCTATTTTCTCTGCTGTGTTATCGCGTGTAAGTTATCCGGTTACCGACCATCCTCCTATTACGCACCATGCATTTTGGCGTTGTTGGTGCTATAGCTTTATTTTGATTGCGTTCTTTTACCTAGATTCTGGTGTGGGTTCAGGGCAGTCAAAGCCGCGAGTGGCTCTGTGATGTGGCGGTAGAAACTACCGGCCGTGTACACTAAGCGCAGATCTGCCGCGGGGCCAGGCGACTGACTGACTTGTCGGCTGCCAGGTGCTGGCGGTGCTGGACCGCCGGACCCCCGGGGAGGACTTCGTGTCAAGAGATGACGACGAGGAGGTCGAGGATGAGGACTGGTCGTCCGGCGAGGACTGCCGGCCGGCAGCACTCAGCCGCCTCCGGCTGGCCATCCGATACCAGCAAAAACAGGTACAGACGCAGCGTAGCGGTGCTGTCTGCGGTTCGCCATCTGGTACCAGCTCAAACATGCATAGAAACGGTAAAGCGCCTCTGTCCTCCGCCAGGAGCGGGTAGGAACATGTACAGATGCATTAAAGCCGCGCTGTCTCATGGTGGTTTTCCGGCACCGGCAGGTTTAAACCTAACGCAAACCTAACTTAGGCAGGGCAGGCTTGCCTATCTTACGTAGCTGCGCCTAAAATAAACATGGCTTCTGTCTTCGGGTCAACGGTCGAGTAGCAAGAGAAATAGATGCAGATGCGGCATCTGAGCCGGCCCACCCAGCCATACCTGCCAAAGCAACAACAGAAACATCTGTTTTGACCGCCTGACAATCATCACAAACAAAAGCAGACTCTCTGCTGGCAGACATCCGCCTGAAAGTTTTCTCGGCGCTAGAAACAGGTGCTGATGCCAATGCTCCATCTGGTTTGGCTGTGCTACGAGGTGAATTGAAGTAATTGCAGTGCAAGCTGACGCCGCTTCCAGTACAGCAGTACGGCACTGGCGCCGCTTCCAGTACAGCAGTATGGCACTGACGCCGCTTCCAGTACAGCAGTATGGCACTGACGCCGCTTCCAGTACAGCAGTATGGCACTGCCTGTTATCGGCTAAAAATGAAAATATGAGCAGCCTGTACATTGCGCTTTGGCCTTGCCCTTCGTCCCTGAATAAGTGACTTTTGGATGATAACGTCGATACTGAATTTGATCATCACATCACGTAAAGATGAATGTCCTCAACCTCGAAAATAGCTCACGCAGCGCTGACATTACCTGGACTGACTGAAATTAGACCGAGTCGAATTACGCTGCCCGCAATCGCCTCAGATCCCTCCACGGATTTGACCTCTCCCCAGCTGCTATATCACCGAGCGAGGACGGGCCGCGTGTCAAAGGTTACGGGCGGCGACCGATTGAAGCGGTCCTCCCGCCTCCGGCGACGCGCGAGGTCCGCTCTCCGGCTATTTCGCGCGTCGCCTGCCGGCGGGCCGCCTTGGTCGGCTGAATCTGGCCGGGCTGGCCGCCCGCCGGCTATCTGGTTAGGCGAAAGGTAATCGGATCAGGCGGACCCGGCGGTCCGGCGCTGGCCGCCGCCGGGCCGTGTCAGGTGACCCGGTCTGGGCCCGGGAGGAGTCCCGGCGCCGCATCGGGGCCGCCGCAGGCAGGTCTGTCGGCAGCCGTGGAGATCGGGGTCAGAAGGTGTGATACCTTCGCAAAAAGACAACGCCAGCCTTATCTGTGTCCAGAGGTGCCGTTTTCTGGAGGTTCCGTCTAACGTTCAATCCAAATTCCAAAGACTGACCACCTGTCCGTCCAAAAGTGTTCAAAAATTGGGTTGTCCGGGAATGTCTAAGTTTTTTGAAAATTTAAAGTGACTCCTACCTACAACCAATAACCCCAGTCACGCTCGTGTCACCGCATGACCTCACCCGAATAGAATGAAAAGAAATACAATGATTGTGGGTGTGGGAAATATAATTATTCGTGAGTTTAGTAATGCGCATCCCAGGCCCGTCCGCTAAGCTTGACTATCACTTATCTGGACGATGGCAGCTTAGTCTGATGGTGAGTGGTAGCGAATCAAAGGTGGCAGGTAATTAGTATCACAGGCCCTCCTGAGAAATACCTTTGATGCCGTTTCTATCAGTGTCAGTGTCCATCGGTGTTTAATCACACAATGTCTATCTTGTGTTTAAAATTGCTCTAGTATGCGCTATCAGCAGCCTGTTTATGTTCCACAGTCAGATTAAAAAACAAAGGCACTGAATCAGTTGAAACATCTAGCAATTTGCGACATGACGGAATGATGTCGGCTATCTTAAAACTGCAATCCAGAACTCTGGTCACTGTCCGTCCGATTTCCAAGTTAGGCTCAGAAAATCCTTGGAATTCAAAAAAATAAAAATATTCCAACGCCACCATCATCGCATCGCAAAGAGGCTCAGGCCATGGCTTTAAGCTAAACGCCAGACATTCGCCTTGTGAGCTGGTGTAGTCCCACTGGCGTGGTGTGCGGCGAAGTTAACGTCCCCCATGAACGTTTGCGAAGAATCAGTATCTTTTATGAATGACTCGCATGTTTTAAGAAATGTTTGGCAGCTTGGCACCTTATCACCGCCGCTGCGCTCAGACACACTTTACGTGTTACTCGGGCTCATTTTTGTTGCGTGCCAATTTATGTGGTCAAAGAACAGAAAAAAACAAAATATATCTGCATTTGTTGGTCGTGACATGAGACGTTGTTTTGCAACCCGAGAATCCGCCACAGCTGACCTGTAAGAGCCCGCGCGCTTTTGGCCATGCTTATACCAGACTCGGCGGGAATTTTTTATGGCAAAAATTTTAAAAAGCAAGCAAATGCATTTTTCGCTGCTTCTCAAGTTTCAAAATCGTCCAAACTGTGGGTGTGCTCCCTACCAAACACAATACGAAGCTGGAAATCATCTTTGGATTTTTATAGCAAGCGTCCAGTCACAGAAAGCACATGAGGGACACAACGCACCAGCCAACCAGGTTGCACAAATTGAACATCTTTAAGCAAACATATCACTGAGAAAAAAATCATGAATATCGACCCAACTTTTCAAAGCATGGCCTGACTTAATTGATGAGTTAGGTGGGTCATTATTATTAACTCAGCATGTGTTACAATTGAGCGGCGGCGAGGTGCATCAAACCTTTGTTGTTTTATTCACAAACTGTGTTTCATAATCAATGTCATTGAGCAATGAAATGAAAATAAATATGTGTGCCTTTTATAGATACAGCCCGCGGTAACTGTTGCATTGCATGCGCAACAGTCGCAAAGAATGAAAAAATCGGTACAACAGCGGTGGGGTATTTAATAGTAATGAAATATTAATAACAGGGCACTTACGTATCATACGCTCACCATTTCTGCGATTCAGAACCTCTGCCGTGGTGCGAGGGATAAATCTCTGGTAAAATTTGGTGATAAGCTTTTGTTCCACTTTGTCACTTATGTGTGGTTAGAAACTGGCATCTTAGCGCTTAGGATTTGCTTTGGTGCAAAAAATCCTTAACTCAAAATTGTTTGATCACGTCTAAGCAGCAACACAGGTGTAAGCCAAACAGTGTTGTGCATCAGATCACACGTACATGATAATTTATGCACACTTTGTGTATGGGTTTAAAATTAATGAGAACTGCCATAATTCACCTTGCAATTTACTCAGTACTTGCGGTTCAATGGCGGGTCAGCATTGTAGCACAGCTGGCTTTTGCCCGTACTGGTTGTGCTTCAGTATCGCCCCTCGCCAGGGCACCGCTGCACATTTCCGAGCAGCTGGACAGGAATAGCTGGCTCGCGACGACCCCGCCGCTGGGGTCAGTCAGTTGACGTGGACACACTTAATCAAGGCGAGCAAATATGGACCGTGGGACTTGCTTGCCCTTCGCCCTTTTGCTAAGATTTGGGTTACGATATGTGTTCGTGAGAAACTCAATATGCGCTAAGTGACGCTAAGAAGACTGCGAAGCGTTGGCTCGAAGTTTATAGTTTACGTTTGCAACAAGGGAAATTTCCGACAACATGGAAACGTTCTCTTGCCACTTTACGCGAAGCAGGGGCGATCGGAAACACCTGGACAATTATTGACTCGTTTCCCTTCCCTTCATATCTTTGAAAATCGCTGATGGTATGACTTGCGATCAGTTACTGAATCCTATTTCACCCATGGCTTTCCCAGTCACTTAAATTGTTTATTAGGTAAGAGAGAGAGAGAGAGAGAGAGAGAGAGAGAGAGAGAGAGAGAGAGAGAGAGAGAGAGAGAGAGAGAGAGAGAGAGAGAGGGAGAGAGAGAGAGAGAGAGAGAGAGAGAGAGAGAGAGAGAGAGAGAGAGAGAGAGAGAGAGAGAGAGAGAGAGAGAGAGATAGAGAGAGAGAGAGAGAGAGAGAGAGAGAGAGAGAGAGAGAGAGAGAGAGAGAGAGAGAGAGAGAGAGAGAGAGAGAGAGAGTCCAACGGCCTCAAGCAACGACGAACCGTCATCACTAAGCAGCCGCCCGGTATGGCCAAATGAGATCCCGACCTCTGTCACCGCGCGACCGACCTCAGGGGCTGTTGACCGCCGTGAGTCGAGACCAGTGGCACTGTACGCACCTCACACTTGAAATGCCTCACACTTGTCCTTCATTCATTAGTGCAAGGTGAAGTTGTTAAGTCTTTTTTCGCCAAATAACTTCACTTATCATCACGTCACCAACCGTATATATAACAGAATCAGTTTCCAGCAAACTCGGCAAGTTAGGTTCTAGGCCACTGGTTGGGTGGCTCGGCATCGCTTCTCTTTGATGTAAGCTCTGCCTTTGTCACTGATTGTTTCAGAAATCTTGCGGAAATGAACAGTGGGCATCTCAAGCTCCCCGGTAGCCAAAAATGCGTATCGCTTGTGCAAAACCAGTGTAAAAAGCAAACTGCAATTTCATGCGCGCATGTAATCGTGGGAAGCCTGGAACGGAAGACCCGTGGTTCGCATTTGCTTGCACAAAACTGAAATCTCGTAGCTAACGTTTCAATTTTTACTTAAAACAGCCCGTCGAATACATTTTTTTTCGCTCAGTCCAACAGATCCATTACAAGGCTATGGTGACAGCCACCAGCAGGGGCGCAACCCGTGACCTCTTTAAGGGAGGGAGCGGAGCTCATTGACAACTATTCACGCTGACCTTTAACTTACTGGGGCTCCATCTTCCGCGCTAAAATAAGAAATGCGGGTCTGCGTAGGGGAGAGGGGGGTGGGGGGGGGGGGTAAACCTTGGCTGCACACCAGTCTACCATGATGAAAACCTTGGTTCGATCGGTCCCGTAGTATTTTATAAGGGTCGGTGGTAAAAGTCATCTTGTCTTGTCAGTACCGGTCAGTTGCAATTATCCATGATCATCAATCCTAGCTAACTTACCTTTGATGGCATTCAGCCATTGGTTGCCACGCACGTGTAGATGGGCAGGCAGGTACGTGGCAGGCAAATACGGCGTTTGTCCGTTGTGTCCGCGAAAAAAGGCCCACGATGCACATGACAGTGGATTCATGGACTATTAATACAGCTGCGTGTTCACACCAGCAATTTTGCAGACAATCCTGCAAATTTTGAAATACTCAAATTCTTGCTGGATTACACATTTGGCATATTATGTTTTTAAACCGTGGTGAAATCAAATTTAGGAGGATGGAGGGGTTGACACGTATACAACGAGTCACTTCAGAGCCACAAAAGTCGGTCACTCTCACGCATGTGTTTTAGAAAAAAAATTGGCATGTCAAACCATCGAACAACAGCGTCATGAATATCATCAGATGTTGGTTACCCAGCTCTGGGTTTTTGTTGGGGCTAAATCTTTGCATTGTGTTTGAGACGTTGATTGAATGATGCTGAGAAAGAAAAAACTCTCTCGTTCTTCTGCCTAAACGTCATTATTGTAGGGACTTCATTTCCATGTTTCGCGTGCGCTTCTCTCGTGATGACGCTCGAGCATTTGAATCCTCAGTCGTCGACCTGTCGTGCCGGCCGCTGGCTCGCGCCCTCACAAAAACCGCTGCAAACTTCCGCCCGTCGCTGGACCATCATCCTTATCTCTAGACAGCGTCGACCGTGGATTCAACAGCACCCAAATATCAGCACACGACCGTGTCGTAGGACTGACCCGCTGTCCGTCCCATTCCTTCCCCGCTCCCCCACAAGGCGGTAGGACTCGACGGGCGCGGCGTCCACCCGACGCTGATTTGTGGGAGCGGGCACCGATCAGATCTGTGTCCCTGACGCCCCATTGATCCCGCCTCGTCCCAGCAGCCGGTGCGTGCCTTGCTGAGCTGGCCACTCGACCAGCACAAAGGAGCGACGCCCGGTCGTGGTGAAGACGGCTACGGCCGCGAGCTAGGGCGGCTGTGAGTGTGCTCTGAAGGCCGGAGAAGAATGGGCGGGGCGGGCTGCTGACCACGCTGCTCGAGGCCATGCCGTTGTACGGACTTGCATAGCGTTGGCGCCGCTGGTGCGATGCAAATTGTAGCGGAACACATCCGTCCTCCGCGGTTCCGGCGCGCAGCACCGCCCCCCCCCCCCCCCCTCCCCTTCCTTCTTCTTCGGGTAGGTCTGTGCACTGACAGATGACTTGCCACAACCTTGCACCAGGTTCCCCGCCGCTCGAATAAAGAATGAGCTTATGATGTTGTTGTATTAATAATGAGTGAGCCTATAAAGAATGTTCCGTCGCATCAGTCAGCGGACAGTGCGCAAGACAGCGGACAATCCGCACGCCAGACGGGATTCGCCACCGCCCCGCGGGCAATCGCCTAGCTTAGCGAAATCGCATCACGGCGGCCGCGTCGATTCAGCCCTCGACGAAATAAAAACCGCGTCGTTAGCGGCTTGTCGTTGGCGCCGAGATGAAATGCGAACGGACAAAGGCTGCCAGATTTTCTAGGATATGCGCCACCCAGTGCAGGCAAATTCCGTCGGTGTCTGGTTCTGTAACGAAAGGATAGGCCCCTGCGCATGCTGCAGTTTCATCTATGCCTGATGTGTACGCTGTGTCACGTTTCCCATGTGTGTATTTGTAACATGAGTTCAGAATTTTCATGCTGATTTATCGACTTTGAATATACCTTGAGTCAATGGTTGTGCGACGTTAAAGAGTAATCATTCCCTCTATTAATAACAACTGTGTGCTCCATAACGTTCGGATCAATTTGCTAACGGCCTCGATGCAGCGGCACAACTGAATAATTATGGCTTGACACGATTAACCTCCCTCCCCCTCCCCTGCCTCTTCCGTCTGTTGAGAGTTGTCACTTTCTTTTTTTGTCACCTTCTGCACCTGCAGTAAGCTGTCTTTCACCTTGACTTGAAGTATCGCATATTGTGGCGCGAAGGGCGTGCGTTCACCGACGCGTTTTGTTTGGTTAGATTATGCTTGGATTGTTCACGGGGGCTGCTTATTTAATGCGTGTCCACCGTGACAACCACCGATAGCTCACAAAGCCCATGACCCCAGCGGTTCATTGGACCACAGTGACCATTTCGGGTCTTGGACAAAGTCGCGGAGGACTTCTCTGGGACCACCGATCAGCCCAACCGCGGTCGTTGAGCAGAGGAATGCATGCCAACATCGGCCCAGCAGCTGACGGTGGCGTGATCGCCGTCCGGAGACCACGCGGCGGCGATGTGACATCAGCCTCGCCGTGCCGCTCATTGGGTGCTCCTTAAAGGAAGCGTTCCATATTTGTTTGGGGTTTTGATTTTAAGTAGCCATCTTGAAGGTCATTCGGTGCAGTTCACAGCCCCACCCTTCTTGAGACTAGGACTACTCTAGTTTCTGAGATACACACCCGCGAAAATGTGCAAACTATTGCGGGAGACTATTTCAAGGTCATCTAGACATCAATAACTCCATAATAGCGTCATTCAAATCCTGCCATTCCACTAGCCATGCGGTGATCAAGGCCAATAAAAGTGCCGTTGTCGACTCATTCATATCCGGCGTTCTTTAGCACGATTTCCACACGCAACACGGTCGTCAGTTGGCTCGCAATCAATGCGCTGCAAGGTGCGATGACGTAATCAAACAGTGATGCAGCAAGGAGCATGTTTATTATACATAGCAATTGTGTCGCTTAGTGCAGTCTTTTCCACTTAGTATCAAAAGTTTTGAGTTACTTCTTGCATCATATCTGATGCTTGCTTTCATATCTTCAAATGTGGAAATTCCATTTAAGTAAGTTGGCGGTGGTTCGAGGCGGCATGTTAAATGAACATGTGTTGATGTCATGAACGTGGTGTTGTGAATTTTAATAGACTGTCCTCACGTGAACATCCTTGTTTTGTCAATCCCGGGGACCTTAACTTATCAACAAGATGCGACAGCCTGTTGAAACGCGTCTTGGTTTGTTCGGTCGTCTCATTTGATCTGACTGGACAAAAAGTAGGTAATTTCCTCGTCGAAGGGATACGAAGCCTTAGTTGATGGAATTTCCGCGATGTGAGATTGCACTATCAGCTGTATGCAGAAATAATTGGTTGTTGAATGTTGCTGTTGATGTTGGTCGTGCGGATTTGCAGATGCATCACATTTTGCAGGAATGCCTAATCTCTTGACAGTGCATGGCGGCGCTGGGGCGAATTTCTTTGAAGCCGTCGGCACCGTTTACGCTGCATCGAACGCGCTTCGAGAGAATGGAACCACGAACCATTATGTCAGCAGAGGAGAGAGAAATCTTGGTTTGCATTTCGCTCATGATTTATGCGACACGTCATTGTGCATACAATTGAATTATACCACGGTGAAGCGCGGGACATCAATCACGTCCGCTTCGCAGCGGATCGGACCTCAGAATGCCACGCAGTCGCATATAATCTGCTCGGATAAAATGGCATGTGGAATTGGCGTCCCCACACACATACATGGGGAATTGGCCGACAGGCATCTAGCCAGATGTTCGAAAGAAGGTTAGTGAACTGAGTCGTCTAGTTGACATGGCTAGAGAGTATGAGCCTCCTCCTCCACTTGGTCGCACCCAAAGTACAGACAGGCCACCAGGATGGCGAACGAGCCGACGCCGCGCGCCAAGTGCGGTGTCTTGCGATGGGGTGTGTTCAGGCGGCCACATTACAACTGTCGCAACACACGTCGCAACCTTATTGCATTGCGGCGAGTGGCTTCAGCGCACGTTGAGGCCGCCGTGCCGGACTACCTGCCATCTGGACAGGACATCCACGGTGACAGCTGGGCGCCATGTGCCGAGCCCTGCTGCGTACGCGCAATTGGTGTCATGCCAAAAAAAGACTGGATGAAACTGGGAGCGAGTTATTGCATTGCAATGCATGCAAACTACTTTAGGTTTCAGGGTGTAGCTCTCTGTTTCGCACTGTGCACTGCGTTATATCATACTTACTGCGTATATATATATATATATATATATATATATATATATATATATATATATATATATATGTGGCTAAGGTACGGTCCAATTGAAAATGACACACACTTTTGAAGCTGCGAGGCTTCAAAATCTGTTTGAAGATGACGAAAGTGCTATTGATAAGCTTCAGTCAAAAAGGGCTAAAAGCATACAACGCCTTGAACTTTTCATTCCCAACGCTTAGAAATGTCTTGCTCTAAAGAAAACGGCATCACTGTTCCCGGCATCTAGTCCTAACATGCCTCTCGAAATGACCTTATTTGTTAAACTTTGTCTCCCGACCCGAGGAGGTTCTGAAATGTACCCACTTATTTTGCAGGGGTGCTTGCTATCAATTTCCTGGACATAGAAAAACGACTGCATTGCGCACAAGGCAACTTTTCGGTGGATGGTGTATGCCCATTGCCACGCCCTGAGACAGGTGGAAATTTTACGGCTCTTGTAAAACGCTGCCGTCTTGTCAGGTTGCCACGGAAACAGACGCTTGCCAAACAATCGACTGGAGTGTTATTCAGCGGGCAGAACTTTGCAGGGGTGTTTGTGTGACCTGCATTTCGCGCGATTCCGTGACGTCGATGACAGCACCAGTGGCGTCATCCTCTGACAGCGCGTCGCCAGCCAGCTGACGTCAGCTCGCCCTTTGCCGGCAGTTTGTCGCGCACTCGCACAGTCAGCAGATGCTGATGTCGGTGTGGTACAAGGGGCTGCCGCTGTGGCGCGGCCGCAACCCTCTGCTCAAGGTGGTCATCTGTGCGGTGATCGTCCTGCTAATCCCGCTGCTCTCGGTGCTCTACCTGCTCTTCCCGCGTTCACGGCTCGGCCGCGCTATCCGCAGCCCGTTCATGAAGTTCATCTACCACAGGTGGGAAGTGCTGCCTCAGCCAGACACTCAGCCGGGCACTCAGCCGGGCACTCAGATTCTCGCGCGGACACGCAGGCTGGTGTTCATGGAGGTGCTCACTGGGGCACTCATCCAAGTGCTCCTGTAGACACGCGCTCAGCTTGCTGTATGGAAGCTCGCAGCCGCATATTACTGACCTCGGTAAGAGGCGCAGTCTGGCGCCCAGCCCAGCTCTCACTCAGGGACTTACTTACGCACTCGCTCAGGCAGTGAATGCCCTACCTTGGACGCGTATTTAGATACTCACTCACACTGCTCACACGCATGCAGGCCACAGTCGGGCAAACTCTGGCTTAGACACGGGTTTGTGGCCGCCCCACTCATCGGACATGTGGTCTTCACTTGCGGATTCATGGCCGTTCACTTTAACCAGAAACCAACATTGCAAGCTGCTGAACTGACTGCATTCCCATGACGGGGCTGCAGCGCGTCGTTCTGCTTCTTCCTGCTGCTGCTAGTGCTGGCCTCGATGCGGCCCGAAGGCGATGAGAGGTCACACGAGAAGATCCGCGGTCCCCTGCCGTCGCCCGTCGAGTGGCTCATCATCTTCTGGGTGGCCGGCATGGTGAGTGGCCAATATACGGCTTGAGTCGTATGGTGTGGTAGGTGGCCAGGACTTCATCCCGGTTTGACAACTATCCGTATTACATGGAAATGCTGGGCACGTAGAAGAAGTTAACTTCAGCGAGACGGAGGTCTCTTAAGTAACTTCATCTCGGGATCGAAGAGACCCGTCCCCGTTACAGTATGCGTGGTAGTCTGCGACGCAAATGACCATAACAGGCATACACGTCGTGAAATGACGAAAAATTGTAAGGATCAGAGAACGCTTAACCCACTTACCGGCTTTTTGACAGTCCTGTCAGGGATGGGACGGGCCTCACTGAGCGGGTCCATCCTGGCCCACTGCGGGCCTGTTGACCCACGTGCCGCCAGCACCCGCTTTGCGACCCGCTGACCTATTCCCCTCCTTCGGCCGATTCGGGTCGCGTCCGGTGTGTGTCAGCTTTAGTATTGACGGCTCAGAGGAACCTGGCGAGACTGAGTGAAAAGGAAGTTTATTAGTTTCGTTTTTGGTCGTTCATTCAGGCGCTGTGCAGCTTTGTTCATAATGCACTGAGGTCAGAAAAGCTCACTCATTGTTGCATTTGATATGTTTGACTGGAGTGGTCTCAACCGTATTTGTTCTTTGCGGACTAACATCACGAACGGACTATGTGCAGCTTGGGTAATAAGTGCGCCTGTAGAACTGAACAGGAGCAATATAATCAACGTGCTCTGTGGCTACAAGCATATACATCAGATTATAAATTACGTATGGCTCCCAGGACTTTAATTCTATCTTCCGGCAACCGGTCACACTGTTATCAATTTGTCCACGGAATTTTCCGCCGGCTTGAGTCGTATAATGCGGTAGGTGGTCGGGACTTCATCCCGGTTTGGCAACCGTCCGTGTTACATGGAAATGCTGGGCACGTAGAAAAAGTTAACTTCAGCAAGACGGAGGTCTCTTAAGTAACTTCATCTCGGGATCGAAGAGACCCGTCCCCGTTACAGTATGCGTGGTAGTCTGCGACGCAAATGACCATAACAGGCATACACGTCACGAAATAGGATCAGAGAACGCTTACCGCACTTACCGGCTTTTTGACAGTCGTGACAGAGATTGGACGGGCCTCACTGAGCGAGCCCATCCTGGCCCACTGCGGGCCTGTTGACCCATGCGCTGCCAGCATCCGCTTTGCGACCCGCTGACCTGTCCCTCTCCTTCGGCCGACTCGGGCCGCATCCGGTGTGTGTGTGGGGCAGAGGGAGGGCCCCTCGGCCTCCCGGCGCTCAATGCCCTCCCCCCCTACCCTCTGCTGTGTCCACACTCGCCGCGGCATGCTAGGGCGGTCCCAGCTGGAGTCAGCATCGGAGCCAGAGTCAGGGCTACCCTCGAGTCTGACAACGCTCGCCGCAGGTATGGGCCGAGTGCAAGCAGCTGTGGGACGAGGGTCTGACTGGCTACATCCGCCAGTGGTGGAACTGGCTGGACTTCGTCATGCTCTCCATCTACATCTGCTCGTTTTCGCTGCGCGCTGTCGCCTACCTGCAGATCCGCAGCGGCGCTTACGGCTGCAGGTATGCCGCGTCCGATCGCTGCACCCGCCGCATCTCCAGTTGACTGTATAACTGTCACGTGACCAGCATACATCCTATTTGTCTGTGACGAATTTGATCGTCATTGTTGTTACTGTCATATCATTATGGTCGCCATCATCATTCGTATCTCGTCTGAACTGAAGGCAGGAAACAAATGGCACACAGGCCGCGGTCGGTTTAGATTTGATGCGGCTTTCGGCACGAATTATGCTGTGGTACAATTCACGACGCGTCAGTCAATTCAGGCATGATTTCACTCCCCACATGAGCTGTCCCGTGATGCAATAAATGTCTTTATTCCCCCGAGGGTCGCAGCCTCGTTTTCACCCTCGCAGCTCCGTTGCAACCGAAGGGGCCACCAGAGCTGATTTGGTCCCGGCCGCCCGGCGGGCAGGGCCTGATAGCACAATACTCAGCTGGTGGCGATAACTTTGCCTCGGTGGTCCAAAACACCTACCGCGCATGATATCATTAAATGCTGATAGCACGAACATGCGATAGCTATGAGCATCGTGATCGCCCAAGTGCATTCGTGCGAGCACTATCGCACTGCTTGCAGAGGGTAGGTGATGCATCGGGCAAAATGGGGTAGTTTTAGGGACAAAAACGGGTATGTGGCCACGGTGATATGATCCACCTCGAATGATCCAGAGAATATGCACAGCGATGAACTTGCCATGAATTCTGTTCCCACCAGTGAGTGACAACGCTGATACGACACATGGCTGCTCGTAAAGCGGTAGAGCAGAGCAGTGGCCTGGTAACCCAACCATCGCCGCCATCGATGCAAAGCCCATTCGGTGGTGCGCTGAATAAATGCATTAGCCGCGCCTTTTTCGACACTTAGTACGCCCTTTGTAGGCAGTGATTTGCGGGTTGAACGGACCGCCGACCGGGGCCGCTGACACGAAAATGAAATTGCCCAGTCCCGCAGCCGTGCGACAGTGGGCACTTACGCCAAATTGATTCTCGACGCTGATGGCATATGAGCCATGAGTCGGTTCGGCGCGGGTCGTGGTGCCAAGCGCTGTGCTGGCATTGTTGCCAGGCCCAGCCTGCTACCGCCCGTTCACGGGCTCTGGAGGGAAGCAGGCTACTTGACAGCCATCTCCGGGGGGGGGGGGGGGGGGGGATTACCGGGATGTGCAAAGCACGCGTGGGCTCTGACAGAAGTTGTCATGGCAAAGTAGTTGAAACAGGGACAAATTTTAACGGCAAAATGTTGAAATCGAGCTTTTTCGGTGAAGGCTGGTGTGAGCGCTGTCACACCCACCGCATCGCATTTTACAATCATGATGGTGGGGAGGCCGTTGCCATGGCGACGGTCGGCCGGATTTCCCCGGCCGTTGGACGTCTCGTGGAAAGCTGCGGCTCCAGTCGTCGGTTATTACGCGGCACGCGCAGCGGTGTGGTACTCAATGCGCGCCCGGCTCCGATGCGCTCTGTTCCGGGCACAAAAACTGGGAATCATGGCGTGCACGGCGCACTGAAATTTCTGTGAATGGTGTGTGTGATTGTGGGCTTTTTAACCGTGCAGCTGGCGCTTTGTTTTCTTTCTGATCTAGCTCGTGTTTCAACTGTTGTACCGCGCATGGATAAGTGTCATCATCTTCACCGGGGGTTTTATTCCTCACCGCAGTAAAAAATACCAAAGTTTGTGGCCAGCAATACTTACTTGATCACGTTTTTATGATAATTGCCGCGCGGTCACACAAACTAAAAAAAACGTACTGTCATGCAGTCGTACATGGTTAGCGACAGCCACTGACTCATATCTGGAACCTTTTAAAGCATGTCTGTAAATGCTGTTCTGACAAAGGATTTACCCCGTTTTGACCCACCTGGGGCTCATGCAAACAAACAGCATTAAAATGTTAGCGACAGGAACACTCGGGGCCGCTTGTTGACAAATGATCGTCCGCGACCAATGCCCAATAACAGGCGCTGACAGACGAAAAATGTAATCCAGCGCTAGGAAATGACCAGAAATTTGAACTAACTCACGCCAAAGGAGACATGATACAAGCAAGAGAATTTGTAAAGTTGCTAAGTAATGAAAATGTATTACTCTCGAAGTCGACTTGTACTTGTCGCAATGACGAATTTGCTAGAATGACTCACGGAGCCCAATAGCGGACACCGGGCAAGCATAACAATGAAGGTTTGCATGACACTTGTTTTCCGACAAGTGGATTTTAATGTTTCGGTCCCGGGATTAATCGCCTTAAATATCGTTCACTCTAATCAAGCATGCCTGATTTGTCTGCAACACTTGGGAGATGCAGCCGAGGACAGCGGCGCTGGCAGCTGTATGGAATGGTGGTTACCTTGAGCAACGTCTCCCATGGCTGCGAACAAGAGGACAGCCGGGGCACTGACGGCGCGAATCCACTTCATGACAGCTGGCAGCTGGCTGCGTCTGCCACCGACTGACCAAGGAGAGCAGTCCCTGCGCTGTCACCGCACTCAAAACCAGAGACTTTTATACTGGGCAGGTGACCCAACGCTACCAGGTCCGCCGCCCCGTCCCATTGCCACAGATGTGCAGCCGTGTATGTCGCAGCCCCTGGCCGCCGCCGGCGCTCTGGCGCAAGCCCCGAACGTGTCCCAATGGTGCGGGGGTTGTACTGCGCGATGAGGAGCCCCGCTTCAGGCGGTCAGGGTGTAATGGTCGTGCGGATCGGCGACGAGTAGGAAGAACTGAGACTTCATGCTTTGGAAGGGCTACCCTTGTGTTAGCATGGTTGCGATCACAATGCCTGCATAGCTTACCGTTGCTTGCTTTAAAGACTTAATCCGACTCTTTTGAAAGAATGTATTTCTGTGGTCAGAGCTCACGTTAAGCAGAGTTTGATGTGTGAGCCCTGACTCCTGATAGCGGACTGCGCAGTGCCGGATCAACGACAGAATTTACCGATGAAAAGGTAATGTGCCGCAGTGACCAGCACGGTCCTTCCCGCACCTTGGCGTCACCTAACCTTCAGCTCGGCCGCTGCTACCGAACGAAGGCCACGGCTGTCAAGGGAAAATAGTGAGAGCATAACACGATTCAAGCCCACCCCCGCCACGGATGGGTGGATCTAAAGGCGGGCACTCTTACCAACTGAGCCATCGGGACGGACTATTCTTCTTACCGCGGTGATTTAGAGAAAAAATACCGCCGGTACCACACACATCCCGAACCTTCAGAACATTCAGCCTTTGTACATTTGTATTGCGCTGAGCAGCGTAAGTAGGTCGTGCTAACATGAAGCGGACACGTCAGCAACGGTTATCGTGTGATCTGAGATCTCAAGATCGCTGGCACGGACCCGCCCGGCTTTGAACGCACTGACACGCTCGGCTATGAACCCGAAATGCTGATGTGTTACCTGCTCATGTTGCTCAGGCGCTACAAGTGAAGCCCAGGCCACTGATTGCAGGACGAATCAGGCGATAGATAATTTTCTTTGAGTTTATTTCCCCCCAGCTTTGAGAGTGGGCGGATTGGCCTCTTTTTATGAAATATTCGAACTGTCAAAATTTCGTTCTTTTATTTCATCATGGACGCCAGGGTATTAGAACTGCTTGTGCACTTGCCTGAGCTAAATAATTGTTTGTGGCTTAGAATGCTGGTCAAATCAGGCATTCATTTTCAAAACGATCCTAAGCTAACTTTAAAGGGAATGTTCAACATTTGAAGATCTAGAGACAAGCATCAGATATGATGGGAAAGCTTATTTGTAATTATTGATCAGCTTTCAAGGATCAAAAACGACCCAAAGTTGCAAAATTTCGAAGTTGGCAAAAATACGCCCCATTACGTCACGGCTTGATGGCGCTATGAAATGGTGTGACGACAGCAATTCCTGGCAGTATTTGGCAGCCAGACCTAAAGAATCCCTCGAAACGCACGAAAGTTGACCCCAACCGGCCATTCTCGTCGCGGGCGCTGTGTTGCGTGGCCGGTTAGTGAATAGCTTGTTTGTGGATTTTTTGTCTTGGTACTGGTCGTAACGGAAGCTTTGGTGGGCTGTTTAGCATACGCAACGCAGCGATCCCCAGCTTTTAGGACAGATTATTTATATCAAAGCACGATATGCTGTGAAGACTCACAAAACGTCATGAATCTCTTACCGAAACCTGCCAGGGACTGCTTAGGATGTCTATACTGTATTGTCGACTTATCCTTGCCTGCAGTGCTCTAGTCCTGACATTGATATCATGTGATGTGCACAGTAGTTACGTGCTTTATTATTTGTAACTGGAAATGCAGTTGCATGCAAAACTAATAAGTCTACAACATTGCTATGCATTGATAGACAGAGCGTTGCTAACGACATGGTAAAAGTGGTAAGGTTGAGCCACCAAGAATGTTTGTCTTGCTTAGGATTATTTGTGCAATTACTAGTTAACCCTGATTTAACCATTGTGGTGCAACAGCATTCCGGCCGGTAATAGTCTTTTGGCGTTGTTAAATCAGTTGTTACCAGTCATTCATGGCTTACAAGTTGCTATCTCAAAGGCTTGACATAGAGTAGTCAGCCAATATGGTACATTGTGTAATAGCACGGGTCAACAGTGTCATCGTGGCATTACCTCAGTGCTGTACTGTGGCATGACATAATAAACAATTATATGGTTTTTGTGCTGCAATCCCTGCTGCTTTCACAATAAATTCCATCATGAAAAGATGGGTCAAGCGTGCATTCTTGTATTAACTCCTCATCTGACATATGACTGACCAAAAACACATGATGCTATATACGAATCACTTTCAGCAAAGCACACAACCAATAAGTGACATCACTTGCTCAGCCTTCTTTAGGAATCCACAAAATATAGGTGACAAGGATGCAAACACGTCTTCTGCTTCCACAGCCATGCAACGTGCAGCAGCCATCAGTCCGCTTCACTTAGAAATGTTGTTCACACAAGTAATAACACAGGAAGCTGCCGGTGCACGCAGTGCTTATGATAAAAATATTATTAAGTGCTATCCGAGTAGCCAAAAGCAATACTTCTCCACCTTACCCAGCACCCAGCATGTCACACAAGTTGCAGTGACTGTGACAATGATAACTCGCAGGCAGTGTTTGCCTGCATATAAAGTTTGTTAAGACAATAGTATGTGCTTCCATTATAATGCAGCACTATATTTTCAAAATTCTTACGTGAAAGACAATTTTCAAAGCTGTATCATACGAGCTTGTCACTGCAACTTGTGTCCCTACTGCCTGAATGAACTGCTCTATAATGGCCTGCAATGAATTAATTACATGCCGCAATACCTCAATAGGTTTAAAATGTTGGCAATATCATAATGAAGTGGCAAATTGTCTTTGAACATCCCTGCAGCATGGGTGATACTGTTTCTTTCAGTTTGACATCACTGCCTTGTCATACTCAAACGCAAACCTAAGGATAGAGACGGGTACAATGTATTGCATTTTATTAGGAGTAATTAGATTTAAAGAATACCAAAACGATGTTCCCTATCGGAAGTTCAGACCTAGCGCGCACACTCCCCATCACATCAAGAGCAATACAAGCCACTGACACGTACCACCAGTGATCACACCCATTTCAAGCGCCTGATTCACTCTCAAATGTCAAATGTGTGATCCCACATTCCGCAACCCGCGAGGCTATCAAATTACGGGTTTTCTCACAATTTGCTCACATTTTTTCAGTTATAACACCGCATTTCTCCGCGAGCCCCCTTCAAAACAAAGTCCCACCGGGGGCTCATGGTAATACAACTCAGCATGTTGGCTCATGGTAATGCAACTCAGGGGATTGTACTTGAAGTGCACAATTCTTTTGTTCAAGGTTTAAACCTGTCCGTTGTTCAGTGTACACCCGGGGAACATTAGTCACATAAATAAGACAGTAGCATTAGCCTTGTTCCTCGGAAAAATCAGGAGAATGGAGATGTAGTCAGGTTGATATTTCGGCAACGTGCCTTTCTCGAAACAATAGCAGAAGTGAATTCAAAATTACCTGCCGATGATCCTACTCGATTTTTCAGGTTTTTCTTTGAAAGGGCAAGCTACAGTTTTTACAGGGCACCAACATTCAGGGGATTAAACAAAGAGCGATTTCCAGCCATTTCTAAGACACAGTGCCTGTCTAAGAATTAGAATGTCAATATGCACAATATGTGGCATTGGTATCCTCAGAAAACCGTAGGGGAGGGGGAATGTCGCATCGCCCACCCTCCCCCACTCGGCATGGCGATTAACGTATAGTGGATAGTCTGATGACGGTTGAGATGGGGCTCGAAGCGCACCCGGGGTTTTCATAAGGGACATGGCCGCGTGGGGGCCCCATATTTGATGTCATTTCCAGTGCCGCTGGCTACTGGTTCGGAATCTGTCATGCATTCTGCCACACTAGCTATCGAAGTCTTTCATTGTTTTTTTTTTGGCGGTCGAAGAAAGGAAATCCAGCCGCAGATCGAGTTTTAATGTGAGGCCCCGGCAAGTGTCGAGGATGGAAGAAAATTCCTGTTGTGATTGGGCTGTCTCATGAATTTAAAGCAGGTGTGTCTGCTTTTCTAACAGCAAAAACTATCCTGACATTTGTTCAAGGGCAGTGTGTTACTGAATGTTTCGGTTATGTGCATGATACTGAAAATTGCAGTGATGAAAGAGACTTTCGGTGATAGCCTGATAACTGATGACGCTACTGGGCATGGACTGAATGACCATTGTGTCATATGGCATTGCTTTGCGCTACTGGCGACAATTTTTCCTCCATAAATTTGGTTGGCGACAAAAACTACACTTTAACCACCCCTGCACATATCACGTTCGCATAATTGGCCAAGATGAGCCCTGTATGTTAGGATGCGGTCGCCTCAATGTGTGATGTGTGCTAGCTTAAAATCGTTTACGTGGCAAATGATGCCTGCCGCGTGATTTGCGATGCCTGTTCAATTGAAATCGTTTGTATGCATAATGGGTGGGCGGTGGGTGATGCCTGTTTGCGTCAACTTGCTTACATGTTCGAATGAAACGTGATGCGTGATGTCTATTTGCTTGAATTCGTTTGTATGTACACGTATGTCCGGCCATTCTAATTCTTAGATAGGCGCTGTATCTTGGTAATGGCTGGCAATCGCTGTTGGTTTAATCCCCTGAATGTTGGTGTCAAAAATCGAGTAGGATCATCGGCAGGCAATTTTGAGTTCACTTCTGCTATTGTGTTGAGAAAGTCATGTTGCCGAAATATCAACCTAACTATATCCCCACTCTTCTGGTTTTTCCGAGGAATAAGGCTGATACTACTGTCTTGTTTAAACTTGTCCTACAGTATTTGACAAATATGTAGTAAAATGTATATCTAAAATTACTGTAGTATTTCCCTAATTTTATAATGCCTTGCTAACCCATAAACCCGCACAAGGCCCTTTGCTTCGGTACGCATGGCGCCAACCAAGCTATCTGTAAGAAATACGTCAGTAGAAGAGAAAAATGTCAGCAGGAAAAAAGGTGGATTTGTCGTTGTGTCTTCCTTTCTTTTGTAACGTTCGGGAGCGTGTGGTTGTTGTTTTCGGTGCTGTACTTTCTTTGCAGGCAGTGGCGTTCCCTTTTTATAGTACTGACCTATAGGCCTACAAATAAGGACAACCCCGTTGGCGGCGAGTGCCGCACAACCGGAAAGTACTCGCCCTTATGTTCGCGACACGCATGCAGCACTGAAATCTTAATAACAGCCGATCACCTTCCGTGGATTGTATCAGACGTGCCGCATCATTGCTCCTGCGAGTGTATCAGCGGTCATGCTGTTCTGACCATAAGCAGAAAACAGCCTGTAATATAACGACAATCGTATGACGTTTATATGACAATATCAATGCCAAGGTTACTTTAAAGGAGTCTACCAATAAACCTTTTCGACTTTTGCGGGCGTATAACTCAGGAACAAGAGGGTTTGGGTCTTAAAAAGGGAAAGGCCGTGAACTGCATCAAAAGGTCCTCAAGATGGCTATTTCGGCTCAAAACTCGATGTAAAAGTGGAACATTCCCTTTAAATCTGACACCTTTAGGAGTGAGCATAGCCAAGATGCACCTGGTTGAGCCATAGCTGGCGGACGAAAGAGCCACACATATCAACTTGTGTACAGCGCAGTCACAGTCATGTCGGCGCTGGACAGTAATTTCGGCGTTGGTCACACTTCGTGGCCGTGCCGTGTCGGTCTGGAGGCCGCCATGGTTCAACCGTTCCGCCGTTGGCCAGTCCTACTCTTTGATGAACGTCAGCTCCCTGTCTCACAGCCACCAGCTTGGCGGCCGGCGATGGCGTCGCTGCGAATGTAACGTCTCGTTTTGACGTCATGACGTGGGACAGTTAGTCGGCGTTTGTGATCCAGTCAGCAGGCGCCGCGGGTGTCCGCTCACTGAAGCGGAGCCCGACGGTCCAACATCGCGAAAAACGGCTAATGACTGGTGGCGCCTCGCGTCTGACGCCCAGTCGGTGCCGGCCAGGCGTCGGCACCGTACCCTAGGTGAATCAGGCCTGATGAAAGGCTCTACGTGTGCCCCGGGACGAGTCTAGGCGAGATATGTGCTCTTTATCAGCTTCAGCAGCTGGTTTGTTATGCGTTGTTTGTCGCCACCAAAATTGCGACATCACATTCAAGGAACGGTCGCTTACAGCTGGGTGCACTCCGATTCGTTTCGTGTGTGTCCTTTATCGCAACTGCGGGGGGCAGGTGTTGTCTCGCATTATTCAAAACTGCCGTGTAATTCACTGCAAATGTCCGTAAACAAGTGCTCGCAGCATCTCCACACACAACATGCTCCCCTCGGCGCGGCACTCAAAGGCGGCGTGACGTGACGTGACATGACACCCAAGCGCTTTTTACCTCCCGCGCGATCACTCCTATCACGGTGACCCCGCTCCGCAACCCCCCCCCCCCCCTTCACAGGGAGATGGACCGCCTGCTCTGGCCGATCAACGACCCGACCCTGATCGCCGAAGGCCTGTTCGCCGTGGCGTCCGTGTTCAGCTTCGCCCGCATCATCTACCTGTTCCAGACCAACCCGCACCTCGGCCCACTGCAGATCTCGCTCGGATGCATGATCATTGGTGCGTGACGGACGCGATGGCCGGCCATGGTCGTTGTCAGTTTGTTTGTGGCGGGTGGGGCGGTGGCTGCAGGTCCGTGACGCGAGTCACGGCCGGCGCGGCGTCATGACGGGCGGGATTATCATCGCTCTGTCGAAGGTGTCGTGATCGTCAGTTTGCGACTGTTGGCACATGGCCACCGTTTGTGACGGGTGGTGTGATCATCAGCTCCGCTCAGATGGCGTAACGAGCTGAGAAACGACGGTCGTGCCGAGCGATGGTCAAGGGTCATAGTTTGGATGCGATCATGATGCCACAAGCCCGACCAATCGACGGGATGCCTTCACTGGTGTACATCATGAGCTGGTCGTGAACGATGTTTTTTGTTTCTAACACTCAAGCACAGAAGTCCTCGCCAGTGATTTCAACACCAAACGCGGTTTACCTTCTTTTAACACATTGGATGTCTGCCACAAGGACGTAAAAAGCTTTGTTATTTCACAGCCCCCTAGTCCATAGTATTGTTTTGCTTATGGAGTTGCAGTGTACAACTAGCCCAAGCCCGTGCCCACACTTCTCCCTTTTTCGTCATACCAAGTATCTCTCCCAAATGCAAAGTAACTTTGCCGTAATTGGTCGGTCTGGTAGCGCGGCCGGCTCTGCGATGAGCAATTCACGTCACAACAGTCGTGGGTCGAGCAGTGGCTCCGGAGGCTCTCAGCGAACACGGACGCCATTGGCGGGGTTTCGAGCCACGCCTTGGTGCGCCTTAAACCCACGGGTCTCGCGCTCACGGCTGGCGAGGGAGGCACGCAGCTCTCTGGCGAGGCTAGACCGGGATGGAGGCAATACTCATGTCACATTCGGTGAGCCCTGCTGCCCTCGTTACTTTGCCGAATTCCCCTCACCAGCGTTGTCGCCGTGTTTCAGATATCATCAAGTTCCTGTTCATATTTTTCCTGATCCTGACGAGCTTCGCGTGCGGTCTGAACCAGCTGTACTGGTACTACCGGCACACGCCGGGCAATAACTCCGGAGGCGAACTCTTCCGAACGTGGGTACCCGGCCGCCGGCCGCCGCCGCCGCCGCCGACCGGCTGCAGAGTGGCCAGCCGCTGGCCGGTGTGCGCGGGACGCCCTGTGGCGTGTTTCGCTGGACTGTGCTTCCTCGTTCCTCGTGGCCCTGGTCTGTGTTAGAGAAGACTTGCAAAGATCACGGGGAGGGAAGGGAGGGGGGGGGGGGGGGGTTCAGACGGTGGATTTTCTCAAAAGATGACGTTGTACTGTTTTTGTAGTTTGAGGGTAAATCATTAGCAAAATACTGGGGTTAAAACAAACAACGGGCGCGAGGGTCCTCCAAAAAGATTAAACGTGCTACCACTTGCAAATCTAGGAAAGAGCGGGTGGGGGTCACGGCCACTCTCTCGGGACTGTTGTGCGGTTTTGTGAACAATGGGAACAATGTCAAGTCCTGCAGAATTGACCGGGGTGCCACTAACATTCTACCTGTCTAGAACGTAAGCATGCCCAGAAAAGCGTCGCTGAATAATGTCTCATTCTCAACAATGCACGCCAGCGTGACTAACTATAACACCGGCTCGGCCCGCAGCTTCGCTCGTCATCGGAAGCCCGCCGTGCGGCCGCGGCGTCGTCGGCGCAACCCTTAGCCTGCGTTGCGGTTTTCCTGGCCGCTTTCTGCTTGCGTTTCCGGCCGGCTCCAATTAGCAGAGCCAGATTTCTTCTGTGTCCTCCACTTGTGTGTCTGGCACAATGCGGCGGGCGCGGCCGCCACTACCGCGGCATCGATTGTGGCTGGCTGGCGGCAGCGCCGGTAGAGCGCCAGCCGCTACTGAGGGAGCTGCGACCGCAGTCAAACGGTGTCCGTGTCGAGGCGGCCTCCGATGCCCGGCCGACTTACAGGTCCTGGTCGTTTCGCCGTGACGGGGTAGTGGTCGCTGAGTTGCGGATGTTTTAGTCTTTGTGCTGCCCCGGTAGGAAACGGTATAACCGGGACATGACTTGTCGCGTTGAACTTGCGGCTTCAAAGCGCTCCTGACGTTTTTCGTCTCGAGAAAAACCTCAAGCTAGTCCCTGTGGCGTGGCCTGTTCTCACGAGATCTCGGTCGAGGGATCGAATGTGCTGGATTAAGCTGCCAGTGATCTAGCCCGATCTTCACCGCCAAATATAGCCAAAGCCAATTCCAGCTCACCAATAGCGTCGACAGCGGTTTCTGGAAATGTATTGTTGGCCGGAACCGGCTACTTTGGCGGAAGAGTTGGTGTTCGTTTCCTGGACTGAACTAAGGCCAGAGAAGTGGCGTTCTAACACGTTCCAGATTCTTATTCCAAGCTGTCCATGGACGGCCTTACCGTGTAAACCCAGCGCGACGCAATTCGTCGTGTCGCCACGCTGATTGTTTCGCACGAAACCTTGGAGGCTTTTGCAATCGACCAGATGCCATATCGACACAGTTGTGGCGGTGATGACGTCCGATAAAAGCTAGGCGCTGCCTTGAAAATGATAATCACGCCGTTTTGCTCCTCCTTCCCTTGACTACTGTGCGTGATCTCCAGGATCGGCACCTCCTACACCACTTTCCCTGACTACTGTGCGTGATCTCCAGGATCTGCACCTCCTACACCACTTTCCCTGACTACTGTGCGCGATTCCCATGATCAGCACCTCCTACACCACCCCCTTGACTTCTGTGCGTGACCCCCAGGATTTTCACCTCCCTCGCCACTTCCCCTGACTACTGTGCGTGATCCCCAGGATCGGCACCTCCTTCACCACTTCCCCTGACTACTGTGCGTGATCCCCAGGATCTGCACCTCCTACACCATTTCCTCTGACTACTGTGCGTGATCCCCAGGATCGGCACCTCCTACACCACTTCCCCTGACTACTGTGCGTGATCCCCAGGATCGGCACCTCCTTCACCACTTCCCCTGACTACTGTGCGTGATCCCCAGGATCTGCACCTCCTACACCATTTCCTCTGACTACTGTGCGTGATCCCCAGGATCGGCACCTCCTACACCACTTCCCCTGACTACTGTGCGCGATTCCCAGGATCGGCACCTCCTACACCACGCTGCTGTGGTCGCTATTTGGCCAGATCCCGGTGCAGGCGCTGGACCAGCGGCGTCATCAGACCGTCACGCACTTGCTAGGGCAGACCCTGCTCGGCGCCTACCTCATCATGGCCGTCACTGTCATGGTCAACATGCTCATCGCCATGATGAGCCGCAGCTTCCAGATCGTTGAGGTGAGAATGGTTGGCTTGTTCATGTTCACAGGCGTGTTAGGGCCATGATGAGCCGCAGCTTCCAGATCGTTGGGGTGAGAATGGTTGGCCTGTTCATGTTCACAGGCGTGTTAGGGCCATGATGAGCCGCAGCTTCCAGATCGTTGAGGTGAGAATGGTTGGCTTGTTCATGTTCACAGGCGTGTTAGGGCCATGATGAGCCGCAGCTTCCAGATCGTTGAGGTGAGAATGGTTGGCTTGTTCATGTTCACAGGCGTGTTAGGGCCATGATGAGCCGCAGCTTCCAGATCGTTGAGGTGAGAATGGTTGGCCTGTTCATGTTCACAGGCGTGTTCGGGCGACGCGTTTAACGGCTGGGAGAATTGACTTTAAAAAAGTTGTCAGGTGTTTTTTTCTGGGGTGGGGAGAAATTCGTGAAGTTCTTTCAAGTTTGCGGTATTTGATTAGGCTTTTCTGGGAACAGGCGATCAGTAATGAAGCTATTTGCTATGAAAGAAGCCCAAACATATGGTTCAATAGCCCAGCTGTGAAATGTGTCATTGGTGGGAGCTCATTGCTGAAGTCCATAAACGAACAGCATTGGTCATAAAACCGAAATACTCCGCTCGGCAATGCTCACACCGAAAAGAAACAAATATCGTAATAGAATGCTAGTGATGCGGCTAAAACAGCTAGGTATTTCGCCAACCATGAAGCTTTAGATCATGGGTCGTATGATGCGCTGGAAGGGTCGCTTGCTCCTCGTCCTCCTCTGTTTCTGTCGGAAGAGTTTATCAGCGGGGCTCAGTTATAGCAGACCCATGATTCGGCACATCTTACTGCACCTTCTGGTGTTGTCATTGGGCCTTTACGACGCACCCAGCTGCTGACGCTACGTGGCTTCTCCTGCCTCTCACCCTGGCAGGAAGGGCGGGCACCGCGGGGAATCGAACCCCGTACCTCTGGTTTCCTAGACGCGCGATGGTTAACGCAGACGCGTTACTGCACTACCGGCACCCCGCTGCGTCTCCTGTGTGGTCAATGTTAAAAACATCTACAATGTTAGCAAACAGTGTTACAACAAACAATGTGAACAAACAAAAACAATGCTAAAAACATACAGCGCGACGTTTTGCTGGTAAGGGAGTCACTTTTCCAATGAAACAAAGCAATGGCAATATACCAGTATTAAAGGGATGACTCTCCAGCTCGCTTGTTGACTCTGTCTCCCCTCGTAATGCGTGTCAGAGGCGGACAGGATCGGAAGGTTTAAGAAATGACTTCCAGTAACATCCAGAAGGCTTTGGCTCTTTATGCAAATTCGGCGACTGGTTACGAATAATGCTGCTCGCTGCATAAAATCATATTTGCCGATAAATGTGCTCATGAATAATCGATGGCGACTATCGGGTTTACATCTTTAGCATTAGTGCCGGTCAGAAATGAAAGTGGTAGCAGCGTGCTTTCCACAGTTCTCTGAACACATGTGTGGTAGTGTTCCGCTGATAACGGGTTTCAGTTTTCGTTGATAACGTCACTGACCAAACTGATATCATGGGGTGAGTCACAACCCGTCCAGCCCCCCCCCTTCCCCTCCACGCGGCTTGAGACTGGTCAAAGTCGACCCGATTTTTGGGACGTTTGTGATAGTTTCACTTACATTCCACGGTCCGTCAGGTGAAGTGGAAGTGAACTAGCCCTAGTCTGAACTGAACATTTGAGCGAGCATATATACACACCAATATTATGGAGGTGCGGATACCCAGATGAATTTCCGGGGAGGGGAGACGAGAGCAATGGCCTTGAATGTGAGAATATTAATGAGACTTTCGAATGCAAAAGCTTCCAGGTAAGAGCGGCCGTAGATCCTTCACCAGAGCTCGAGGACTAGCCCAAGCGGTTAGATGAACCTCGTCGGATTGGTCGCTCCGTCGAGTATCGCCAGTCGAAGCGGCCCGAACCTGGTCTCCGTTGGACTTGGCGAGAAAGGATCGCTCCAGACTCGGCTACGCTTTCCATTTGCGTTTTTTTTCATTCTGTCACTGCAGCATTGCGTAATTTACGATCACGTACGAATTTACTATTATCGCGCGCTATCAGCATCGCATGTTCCAGTCATGGACGCTGTGGGCGTGGGGTCTGGGTTCCTGGTTCCCGTGCCGTCCTGTGCTTCCCTGTCTGCATCATCAGTCTTCATTGGCTACCTTATTCACCTACTAGTTAGCTGGACGAATCTATCGATTTTCTTTCCGTGTCATCACTGTTGTCTGCCCTCCTCCTTCTGCATTTCGCACTCTTGCCCCTTTCATATCTTAAGTCTCTCTTCTTGCGCATTTTCTTTTGCATTTCCCCCTCCCTTCCGGCCTCCCTTCCCCTTTCACGATCACGCCTCCGCTAGCCGTCGCTGCAAAGTGCACACCTTGACTCCTCCCTCTACCGGCAGGACCACGCCGACCGCGAGTGGAAGTTCGCTCGCTCCCAGCTCTGGATGTCCTACTTCGAGCAGGGCTCCTCGCTGCCCCCGCCCTTCAATATGGTGGTCAGCCCCAAGTGGGTGTGGTACGCCGTTCGCTGGGTGGCGCGCGGACTGCTGAATTGCGCGGGCTCGCTGCGCGCGCACACCACGCGCGCCAGTCCTTCCCACCAGGAGCAGAAGACCGGAGTCAACGGGGGCGTGGTGAGTACTGGCGTGGCGCCCGCGGCAAGTAGGGTCGCGCCTTCAGTGACGGTCTTAGATGCACGTAAATAGAGCCGGTATGCACCCGTGATGCATCGACATTTAAATATTGTGGTAGCAAAGATGTGCGGTTTTTATTATTTTTGCCTCTTACTTTTAGACAAAGCATAAAACTTGCTTTAGATAGGTATAAGAAAATGATGGCGGGGTCCTTTAAGCAAAAGCTCGCTTCGATTTCGTTCAGTGGGGAGGGGGAGCGCAAGCTCTGTGCCCGATTTAGGCTCCACCGCGCTGTGGCCGCGCTCGGCCGCCGCCCAACCGACGAGCGGCGGCTGCGGTCCGGCGCGGGGTCCAGCCGGCTATTTCCGCCGATCGCTCCCGCGCGGGCTCTCGGTGTCTGCCGGCCCGCGGCGTCCTCGGCCTGCGTGGCAATCACTGCCCGGCCGCCAGCCAGCCCCCGGCGCGCCACTTGTCAGCGCGCGACGTGACCTGAGAGGTGTCACGTGACCCGGGGCCGGGCCGCCGTCGGAGGGCTGCGCCGCAGCCATGCGACGGTTCGGAGGGAGTCGGCGGCCGAAGCTGGACTGGTGTCCGGGTCGTTCGTCTTGCGCGCAGCCAGGCATGGAGATTGGTACCATTTGGGCCGTCGTGACCGTGCAGGAGCTGGATATTACCGTCGTCAGTTTACGCAGGGGAACTCAGTTTATGGCCATAATGGCTGCATTATGGAGCTGCCCAGAGGTGCCCATAACAGCTGCAGTGCACGGTGTGACACCGCACCCGTCTGTTCACTGTCAATGCTAGCTCTTTTTGCTGTTATAATTACAATAGGCTTCATATTCGATTGCAGGACTACGAAGATACCGTACGACTTTTCTTGGACTAAATGATAAGAGCATGTCTATACCAATAGCATTTCTGTTCGCTCTTAATAACACCAGCTCTGAGTATGACAGCTGGGTTTTGCGTTGTCGGAGGCAGCATTAGCGTGTCATGTATCATCCAGACCTGACGGGATGGAAAAGCTGGACGCACGCTAACGTGGCATGCATCTCATGGGATTGATACGGCGTTGGTACAATCTGGTCAGTATGACCTGACGGGGCACCGGTTTGCCCAGCCGAGCTTAATCATGTATGCCCAAGTGGGAGCCATTGTGGGGACGACAGGGGTCAGGACGAGGGCTATAACTCACATTACGTGGTTATTAGAACTCAAGCTCACCTCGCTGATGTTTAAGCGCATTGAACAGATTCTTCAGTTTCCAGTCTAGTTTGGAAGCAGGCGCATTCTTGAGCGAAGCTACTTGTCAGCCCCATCCGTAAGCCGCGTTTTGATCTCGAGTGGCGCTCCTCGGCAGCGTTTTCTGCTTCGAGCCAGCTCGCCTGGCACGCCCCCGGGCAGAATCGAGGACGGAGGTCGGCAGAGGTCATGCGTGACGGACGCCTCCGGAGAGGAGGTGCCCTACGACATCGAGCAGGTTCCGTATGCTGAGGTCATGCGGCGCCTGGTCAGCAGGTAAGTGACAGCGTATTTTTAGCCCGCAGTTTGCCCTTGGTTTTTCACTTGCATTTTTTTCTGCCGCTGCTTGACACTTGTGGAAATTAATGGGGCTCTGACAAAGACAATCATGTTTCACTCTGTTTTTGATGCGTGTCAAGAACAATGCTCGGCGAATGATGTTTCCTGGCGTTTATGGTGCTTGTTTGCATGTTACACGTGGGCTTCAATGCTCTTGAATGTGTTTTTATGTCCACCCCTTTTTACCGTTCTTTATTACCTGCATCGGGTAACTCGGGATGACGAGATAGGTACTATACGTCCCAGATGGCCATAGATTACCGGTGCTGAATTGCGCGCAGCTCAAGATGAAGCAGCGCATATCTGACCCTGGTGGAGCATGCATCAGACAAATCGCTCATAAACGCAGTTGCTTAAGTAGACATAAAGCAGGCTTTTTGGTGCATTTGACCGCGGCCGAACATCTGTGCCTGAAAGCTGCCAGCCAGTGGTAAGCAAGGACGTCTCTATTGCAAACGGTGGCGGAGTTAAGTCGGGGTGAGCAGCAGGCTGCTCTTCTACATGACGGCCGCTGGGACAAGGGCTGCGCAAGGAACGATAGCTCGGGCATAAACATTAACACAGGTGGTGACAATAAAGTGCATTGCGCACTGTATGACCAGTCCCCGTTTAACAATCGTCATTGATTTTTCGCCAGTTACGTAGGCTGCCGATGTAAACACAGATGCCGGGTGACGGATGTGGAACAGAGGCCGGATGACAAATGACTGTGTGAATTTGGTGCACAGGTATATCTTTCAGTTTAAGAACCAGCACCGACACTCAGGGGCTAATGAGGACGACTTCATGGAAATCAAGCAGGACATATCCAGCCTCAGGTCAGTGGAAGACGTGACACCATCTGTCACGCATCTCCAGTGATAGATGGTGTCAGATGGTGTCGAGCGTTTCAGTTGGACGATGATGTTAATGTCTCTGTTCGCTTGTAAGGCTCTTGTCCTTTGAAACCGCACGGTATAGGGGATGAAGCTGCAAGGCAATGTGCGTTGTACTCGACCGTACACACGTTTTGGTGTCATAATATTTTCCGACCTGCTCCTTGACCTTGGCCATCGCAAGGTTGCATGCGCAGGATTAAAAGGCTCATCGAAATCTAACCCGCTTGCATTTGTTCCATCGTTTCCCAGGGAGAAGCTTATGTGACGTCATCCCTGGTCAGATAACTTAGGGTACTTGTATCGCCCTTGTCCAGTGGTCCCGTCTGACGTCAGACGTGAACTTTCGATGACCAGTGACTCCACCAATCCTCACCTCGAATCGCCGTCAGGTACGAGCTCCGGGAGGACCGCAAGCGGGAGGCGTCGCGGAACTTCCGTAACCTTGACAACCTGCGCCGAGATATCGTCAGTCTGTTCCATGAGGAGCTGGGCGGCGGGCTGAATGTGCCGTCTGACGGCCGTGCCTACTCCTCTGACTGCGGCCCCGACACCATCTACAGGAAGCCGTCCCGCAGAGGTCAGTACGACGAACACTACCCACAGGAGGCCATCCCGCAGAGGTCAGTACGACGAACACTATCCACAGGAGGCCATCCCGCAGAGGTCAGTACGACGAACACTATCCACAGGAGGCCATCCCGCAGAGGTCAGGACGACGAACACTATCCACAGGAGGCCATCCCGCAGAGGTCAGTACGCCGAACACTATCCACAGGAGGCCATCCCGCAGAGGTCAGTACGACGAACACTATCCACAGGAGGCCATCCCGCAGAGGTCAGTACGACGAACACTATCCACAGGAAGCCAACCCGCGGAGGTCAGTACGACGAACACTATCCACAGGAAGCCAACCCGCGGAGGTCAGTACGACGAACACTATCCACAGGAGGCCATCCCGCAGAGGTCAGGACGCTGAACACCATCTACAGGAACCCGTCCTGCAGAGGTCAGTACGACGAACACTATCCACAGGAGGCCATCCCGCAGAGGTCAGTACGACGAACACTATCCACAGGAGGCCATCCCGCAGAGGTCAGTACGCCGAACACTATCCACAGGAGGCCATCCCGCAGAGGTCAGTACGACCGAACACTATCCACAGGAGCCAACCGCGGAGGTCAGTACGACGAACACTATCCACAGGAAGCCACCCGCGAGGTCAGTACGACGAACACTATCCACAGGAGGCCATCCCGCAGAGGTCAGGACGCTGAACACCATCTACAGGAACCCGTCCTGCAGAGGTCAGTACGACGAACACTATCCACAGGAAGCCAACCCGCGGAGGTCAGTACGACGAACACTATCCACAGGAGGCCATCCCGCAGAGGTCAGTACGCCGAACACTATCCACAGGAGGCCATCCCGCAGAGGTCAGTACGACGAACACTATCCACAGGAGGCCATCCCGCAGAGGTCAGTACGACGAACACTACCCACAGGAGGCCATCCCGCAGAGGTCAGTACGACGAACACTATCCACAGGAGGCCATCCCGCAGAGGTCAGTACGCGAACACTATCCACAGGAGCCGTCCCGCAGAGGTCAGTACGCCGAACACTATCCACAGGAGGCCATCCCGCAGGTCAGTACGCCGAACACTATCCACAGGAGGCCATCCCGCAGAGGTCAGTACGCCGAACACTATCCACAGGAGGCCATCCCGCAGAGGTCAGTACGCCGAACACTATCCACATGAGGCCATCCCGCAGAGGTCAGTACGCCGAACACTATCCACAGGAAGCCGTCCCGCAGAGGTCAGTACGCCGAACACTACCCACAGGAGGCCATCCCGCAGAGGTCAGTACGACGAAACACTATCCACAGGAGGCCATCCCGCAGAGGTCAGTACGCCGAACACTATCCACAGGAGGCCATCCCGCAGAGGTCAGTACGACGAACACTATCCACAGGAGGCCATCCCGCAGAGGTCAGTACGCCGAACACTATCCACAGGAGGCCATCCCGCAGAGGTCAGTACGCCGAACACTATCCACAGGAAGCCGTCCCGCAGAGGTCAGTACGCCGAACACTACCCACAGGAGGCCATCCCGCAGAGGTCAGTACGACGAACACTATCCACAGGAGGCCATCCCGCAGAGGTCAGTACGACGAACACCATCTACAGGAACCCGTCCCGCAGAGGTCAGTACGCTGAACACTATCCACAGGAGGCCATCCCGCAGAGGTCAGTACGACGAACACTATCCACAGGAGGCCATCCCGCAGAGGTCAGTACGCCGAACACTATCCACAGGAGGCCATCCCGCAGAGGTCAGTACGACGAACACTATCCACAGGAGGCCATCCCGCAGAGGTCAGTACGACGAACACTATCCACAGGAGGCCATCCCGCAGAGGTCAGTACGCCGAACACTATCCACAGGAGGCCATCCCGCAGAGGTCAGTACGACGAACACTATCCACAGGAGGCCATCCCGCAGAGGTCAGTACGACGAACACTACCCACAGGAGGCCATCCCGCAGAGGTCAGTACGCCGAACACTATCCACAGGAGGCCATCCCGCAGAGGTCAGTACGACGAACACTATCCACAGGAGGCCATCCCGCAGAGGTCAGTACGCCGAACACTATCCACAGGAGGCCATCCCGCAGAGGTCAGTACGCCGAACACTATCCACAGGAGGCCATCCCGCAGAGGTCAGGACGCTGAACACCATCTACAGGAATCCTGCCGGCAGAGGTCACAGGAGGCCATCCCGCAGAGGTCAGGACGCTGAACACCATCTACAGGAATCCTGCCCGCAGAGGTCACAGGAGGCCATCCCGCAGAAGGTCATCCGCCGGGGGGCCATGCGCCAGGAGGTCACACTATCCATGGGGGGCCGTGCCGTAGAGGTCAGTATTACTGTGACCGCTGACCGTAAGTCTCTCGGCAGACGTCAGTATTGCCGATGGGAGCGACAGGGAGACGCCTCGCAGAGGCTAGTAACAGCGTTAATATGCTCAGATGACTGTCTCATATAGGTCAGCCAGGCGAACTGTCCCATTATGTACGACAAAACCGTTACACAGAGCTCAGCGTGACCGACTGTCTCGACGAGCGTATTCGCCACTGGTGACGTGCTGGCTGTGAGTTGAGATGTTCGTGAGATCCTGAGACATGCAGCGGTCGCGGAGGTTTGTAACACCGCAGTGGAGGTTTGTAACACCGCAGTGGAAGTTTGTAACATCCAACACGACACGCCCACGCTACGTCCTTCCCGACGTGCTCGATGACCGGGCACCGTCGCTCCTTCCGGCAGGTCGCAGTTCTCTGACCTCACACACTCAGCAGCTGTCCCTGGACCTGGGCCTGCTGGGTCGACCGGAGGTGGGTGGGGCCGAGCCGCCTCCACCGCCGCTGCGCTCCCCTGACGTGTCGGTGGCCACACTGGCCAGCCTGCGTCAGCTGGTCCGACGCGAGGTGGAGCTACTGAGCCGTGCCGCGCCGCCGCCTCCGCCGCCGCCTCCGCCACCGCCGGAGCCTCAGCCGGAGCCGGAGCCGGCGTCGGCGCCGGCCGGGTCGCCGTCGGCCACCTCGCCCGAGGCGCCGCCGGCGGGCTCTCCCGAGGCTTGCAGCTTGCACGAGCTGAGCGAGCACATCTGCCAGTGGCAGGAGCAGGTGGCGGCGACGCCGTGCCCGCAGCGGCTGCCAGTGCCGCGGCGGCGCGTCCTGCTGTCCGCCCAGTCGCTAGACCAGGCGGCCACGGCCAGCCGCCTGCACCGTCAGGTGTCAGTCGACCATCACGAGCCGCTGCGGCCCGGATGACGGCAGACCCCCGTCTAGCGCTGCCGCCGCTCCTGCTGTGCCCAGCAGACCGTCCGCCGGCCGTCGCCTCGTGCTGAGCCGCCGGTGAGGTGACGTGGGGAGGCAACGGAGAACCGTCGTCGGCGGGGCGGGGCTCTGCCAACACGCCGCGCCTCTCCCCGGTGGTGGCGCCTCTGCTCGATCGTCGTCCAGCTGTTCGGACGCCTCACCTCGCGCCGCGGTGACAGCAGCTGAAGGGACAGGCATGGCCTATGACGCATGTCTAAATTTGCCAACGCGTAATTGAGCCGGACAGCGAGTAGTGATAGTGCCATCAGCGAAGGAAGTGATATTATTGTGTAAGTGCTTAGGCATAGCGTCATGAGAGAGAGAGAGAGAGAGAGAGAGAGAGAGAGAGAGAGAGAGAGAGAGAGAGAGAGAGAGAGGGAGAGAGATAGTGAGAGATAGAGAGAGAGGGGGAGAGGGAGAGAGAGAGAGAGAGAGAGAGAGAGAGAGAGAGAGAGAGAGAGAGAGAGAGAGAGAGAGAGAGAGAGAGAGAGAGAGAGAGAGAGAGAGAGAGAGAGAGAGAGACGAGGCGCTGCGAGTACTGTGTTGTCGCTCAACCAACTCGTCGTGAATTCCAGACAAGTGAAGCGGCCGTCTTGGGTGATCTAAGCGGAATGGGGCGTCGGCAGAAACATTCACTGGCGCCCGCTGCAGTGTCGGCCGTGTCCATAGCTCCTGATGTGAGTAACGCAGCTTCTGAGACCGCCTCGGGCCACGCTACTGACGTAATCTGTGCTGTTGGATTTTTGACGGCGTCCGTTGGATTTATGCGCTGGGGTTGCTTGGTGATGGCGATGTGGCCAGACGCGTTGTCGCAGAGTGTAAGTGGATTGTGCGCCGGCACTGGCCGACCTAAGTTTGGGGACTTCTGTAACAGTGTGCCTCTCAGTTTCGCGAGACTTTGTGTAGCGGGTGTTGTCGCCAGTAAGGCAGGCTGAAGTCGTTCCGGGTGGCTGTATTTGCAGCAGACAATAGACGTACAAGCGGCTGTCGTTTGTTCAACACCACCGCAAGGGTACTTCAATAATTCATCAGTTGTGATTTTGACGGTCCGTCGCTTTCGAAGCGTAGTCGCCAGCTTGGCACCGGAAACGCCTGGTCGTGCGGACGTTTCTAGTTTTGTCTCATATGTCCGCAAACAAGCTCCGTTACCAGAGTCCGCCAGAGCACACAAATGAGTCGGAGTTGGCTTGGATTCGGACCACACGAAACGCGTTTGAATCTGCCCATATAAATGTCAATAGACGGTACTCCGTACGAGTTTGTTGCTGCCCCTGCTCCCTTGTGTAAACTGTATTAGCACCACGAGCTTAGCTCAGCCAACGGCAAATGCTCTGCATTATGAAGAAGTACCATCCACCACAGGAACAGCTTATTCGTGTGTATGCTACTGACATCCGGCCGTTGCTAGAATATTGTGCACCGGTTTTCTCACGTGGGACTCACTGTCAAGCAAGCGCAACATCTTGAGAAAGTGCAGAAGAGAGCCTTGAAAATCATCTTCGGCCATTCGGAAAAGTACTCGCACATCTTGCAACGCTTGGGCATGGAAACCCTCGCTGACAGGAGAGAAAAGCTATGCCCATGACTAGGAAAACAAATGCAAGCGTCTCCCATGCATAGAGATCTGCTTCCAGAGCAGCGAGTGGCGATCTCCGGCAGAAATACCAGGGGCGCAACCAAACTCCAAACGTTTTGCTGTGGTGCGCGACTACGCAAATCAAGTATTCTCCATATACACTTATGGAGAATATATGCACTCTTATACACACATATATATTTATATATGCACTCTCATACATAATTATATATACACTCTTATACACACATATATATTATCAACTAAGTAGTGTCCTACTTCATATGGATATTGCACACATGTCCTATATGAGTTGATAACTGAAGCCATGCTTTTCTCAATCAACTCTCTCTCTCTCTCTCTCTCTCTCTCTCTCTCTCATCCTCTCTCCCTCTCTCTCTCCTCTCATCTCTCCTCTCTCTCTCTCCTCTCATCTTCTGCTCTTCTCTACTATCTCCTCTCTCTGGTTCTCTCTCTGCCTCCTCTCTCTCCATCTCGGCTCTCCATCCTCTCTCTCTTCCTCTCTCTCTCCTCTCCTCTCTCCCTCCTCATCTCTCGTCAGCTCTCTCCTCTCTCTCTCTCTCTCCTCTCTCTCTCTCTGCTCTCTCTCTCCTCCTCATCTCCTCCTCTCCGCTCTCTCTTCCTCCTCATCTCCTCTGCCCATCCTCTCTCCTCCTCTCTCAGGTCTCTCTGCTCTCTCTCTCCTCACGGCAGAGGGGAGGCTGAGCACCCCACGTATGCTCAAGACTTGATCAGGTTTGTGCGAGCAGTACTGATTTAGTTGACTCTGGTGTGAAATCGGGTCTTGGTCGACGTCTCTGTGTCAAACGCCAAATGGACCCTCATCGGCTCAAGCCTCAAATGGCTCAAGCCTGACCTTGCCTAGGCACTGCACTCATGCGAGCCCTACCAGCGCCGTGTTGACCCGATCAACGCTGCTGGCCGGGTATCCATACAGCTCATCGATTACGAATTTACCAGATTCGATTAGATTACATCCGTACAAAACTGCCATCAAATCCCCCTAACCACGATCCTCATTTGATTACATGGCTTGATCGTGATCAGTGAGCGGCCAGACAGCCTCTGGAGCCAGAATGGTAGCAGCCCCGGCTGCCAGTGCCGCTGATACCGCGTCTGCACACGACACGGCCGAGCAACCCTGTCATGCCGACGGGGCCAGATGGGGAGTGGGGGAGGGGGGGGGGGGGGGTGAGGGTCAGAAGCGCACGTCCGCTGGCCGCTGGCCATCGAATCAGGGCCAGAAGCTCGATATTACGTCTTGTTCCATCGGCAAAATGTACCCAGGCGGCGGGGCCAGCGGCTGTCGACTTCAGACCACCGGCGGAGCCTGCGGTAGAGGCGGCGGCCGATGAGGCCTCGCGCTGCGTGGTACGGCTTAGAGGGGTCGGGACAATCAGGTGCATTAGCACTTGAGTGTGAATTCAAGGAATGTTCACACCAGTGTGTTGAAGGGCAGCGTTTTCTCTGTTTCATTGGACAAACGTTTGTGAGGTGTGCATGGCTCTCACGAGCGTTCGGGACATTATGATGTCCCCTAACCCACACGTTGTGGTGTACTGTGATAGCAGACATGGTTATCACCTTGTGAATGACACTTCAAGGTGAACTACTAAAGCCCGTCACATTTGATAATCGACATGGATATCATTGATCTATGCAGTGAAGCATTCCACATGCATGCGTTTGACAGGACGTGCACTAATGTTTTGCGACCGCGCACGAAATATCAGTGGCTGGAGTTTTCGACGACTGCAGGTGGGACCCCAGCCGCTTAGGAAAGGCGCGGCGTCAGGAAAGGGTTGCGCTACTGGTGTCAGCTGGTGGACCGCGATATATGTTCACACACTCAGGCAAAAAAGTTGGCGAATTTCATGCCATGTCTCGTGCGTGTTAAATTTCACGTCTTGCCAGTATTTGAGGAATATGTGCAAAACACGGCTGGAAACAAATCAGCCAATGGTAGCATTGGTGAAAAAGAAAGTCACTTTGCTTATAGGCACATGTTACATTGCCGGCCGCCATATAAAATTTTATAGATAGCATCGGGCTGTACTTGAGCTGACCCCATCACCAATGTGGACACAACGACCAAAGTGAATGTGGGACTCGAGCGAGTAAATGATCGTTGCCCCCGAATGCATGGCACGCATATATCGCTTCTTTAATTTAATTATGTCGTCGCATGGTATCTTAAAACAGTGATAACGCCAGCAAATGACTTGAGTGATGGAGATGAGCTAGAGTGATGGAGACGAGCTAGAGTAATGGAGACGAGCTAGAGTGATGGAGATGAGCTAGAGTGATGCAGACGAGCTAGAGTGATGGAGACAAGCTAGAGTGATGGAGACAAGCTAGAGTGATGGAGACGGGCTAGAGTGATGGAGACAAGCTAGAGTGATGGAGACAAGCTAGAGTGATGGAGACGGGCTAGAGTGATGGAGATGAGCTAGAGTGATAGAGATGAGCTAGAGTGATGGGGTCGAGCCAGAGTGATGGAGATGAGCTAGAGTGATGGAGACGAGCTAGAGTGATGGAGCGAGGGCCATGGCCGCACTGTCATTGTTCATTCCTTGCACAAACTTTGCAGTCGAAATGCTCCTTTGAGAATATAATTGAATCCTGTGGATTGTTGGGCTCTCCTGGGGGCTTCATCCTGGTGGCTTACAGAACCACGACCTTTAGCTCGCTACACGGCGGATTGTTTCATATGTGACAGCTTAACATTCCAAGTTCAGGAAATCCTTAACTTGAGCGTTCGGAGCAGCCCAGCACCACCAAATACTGACGGTGCAAAATATTACGGGTGAAAATATGCAAACATTAGCATTGAGCCGTGACAAAATATGCTGGTTAATAAAAGGTAAGATAAATGACAAAAGTTTGTCAGTTTGTTTACAGTATAAATTCATTCATGATAAAAATTTGTTAGCTCTCAAAATGTCTTACTAAAAGCTGAGCTCATTGAATCCACGGGCGCATCCAAGTGCAGTAGGGCTATCCCGTTCCATGCCATGCGCCAAATGCTGACTACTGTTTCGCCTGAAATCCTGTTCACTACATGCCTGCTCATATTTACCCATCCCACTTGTATTCATGTAATTTTTTGTCATTTGAATTCTTTTCCAACTTAGATTTTCCCCCTGTCTACTTCAACACTTCGCCCTCTGACTGTGTTCGATTTGACTTTCATGCCTGTCGACTTCTATCCCTATCGACTTTTGTCATTAAACTTTTTCTCGATTCTACTGCTACCCCTGTCCGCTTGCACCCTTTTGGACATTTTGTGCTTATCTTTTTTTGGTTGGCTTTTCCAATACTTTTAACCTTTACAACGTTAGGACCTTCGGTTTTTCCGATTCGACTTTGGCCCGCTGACTTCGATTCCACTGAACTATTAGTGGTCAAATCTTTTCGTTCGTCTTTTTGTCTCGCAACCATACGGAGTGGCGGCCGCACGAAGCCGCACCAGGTGAGCGCTTACGTCCACTTGTGGCTGGTGCATGTAACCCCTGAAAAGTGGGGCGTTGCGAGGATAAAAGACGATACGATAATGACGAAAGCAGGGCGGCTGCTACTTTTTCAAAACTGGACGCTCATTGAACAAGAGGCTGCATTATGACGAAGTAAATGAATTTGCATTTGTTCGTGATTTGGCGAGTGTCGAAGGCCTCGGAAACGACGCCACATTTTCGTTTGATACTGGTGGCAACTAAGCCATGCCCCCTCGAGCTTTTATGGCCCGATCTGCCTCGGTTTAAGCCAGTGTGCTGTATTTGGGAACCAAAACACGGTTGTCGGTGCTTCCACGATTTATCATTTTGCCTCATGCCGCTGAGATGCCCGGCCGCAGAGACCTCGGCCTGTTTCCAGACTGCAATCTTCAGTTTATTTCGTGATGAAAATGTTTCATTTCTCATGTAACTCGAACTGAGGGTTAATAGATCGGGCATTGCACACGACGCAGAAATACATCGCGTGACGAGACAGCTAATGCTTGATCGCCTTCAAAAACTGCAGCCCAACTGACTAGTACGTCACCGCCAAAAATTTCATCGCACTGTGATCGGTGGCTTCAATAAAGCCCTATCAAAAGCGTTACTAGCCGGTCCGGGCCGAGTAACTGAAGCAAATAAAGCATTTCCGGTTAGTGAGCGTTGATCGACACTTATAACAACGTTCGGATATTGCATTTCAACATACGAGCGTCGCTGGAAGTGCCGACCTCGACCACCAATTTCGATCGTGCACGTCACGTGTCAAAATTTAATCCGAAGAGAATGGCTCAGTGACCGCGCTTTTCACAATTTGCGTTCCCTGGTGCTTTACCACGAATTTTCAAAAAATATCTTTCACCGCTTAAAAGAAGAAACCGAAGTTTTCTTGACACCTCACTTAGATTTCTGCGTCCCGTAGTATCTTCGAGCGCGCACGGCCAGCAAGGAAAGGGCTTCCGAACCAGCCGACCTGCTCAAACCAGCAAAAACAGTCAACACCAGCACGGCCAGCAAGGAAAGGGCTTCCGAACCAACCGACCTGCTAAAACCAGCAAAAACAGTCAACACCAGCATCGGTTCAACAACTCCAGCAATATATTAAACCATTTTCGAAGGCAGAACACGCATATCTCTACTTAAGGACATGTTACAGCACACCTCACGGGCGCCGGCGCAGTACCAGACCCACCCGAGCCCGGGCGCGAGCGGCGGCCCAGCAGCGCGCGGTCGCAGCGACACGCGCTCACAACAGTCCCACTATGTACAGCGCTGGGCGGCGCCCGGTCGGCGGCGCCCTCATCCAGCCCCTGGTCAGACGTCAAACGGCGCGGTCGGCCGAGCGCGCACTAAGCAGACGGTGCATCACAGCGGGGCGCTAGGCTTCCAGCGCGGCGACGACAGTGAACCCGGCCGAACGACGAGCAAACAGCGGCTGTCGGCAGCGCGATGCGCATTGCACTACGGCGTGGAAGCGTTGACAGAGGTTACAAGTGTCGACCGTTAGTGCGGCTATCAATAGTGCACGCAATTAGCAGAGCATTCGGAAGTATTATGTGTAATGTGGCCGTGCCCGTCTGCACAAAGAAGTCGCTGCCTCTGGTTTGCCAGGATGTGAGGTATCCGCGACCCCAACCGCTCCCATGTCCCGAGTTTTGTGACACCAGTATAAGCTGCGCGGGACAGCACGGATCTCGATCCACGTCAACACACCGCCCATCACCCAGCACGCGCGAGGTCCGCCCGGCCCTCCGTCATCAGGCGACTTCGGCGCCGGCACGCCCCACATACCCGCAACGACAGCCCATCACTGGCAATGACAGCCCGTTGCATGACCGATTTTCCGCAGTGATCTCCCTCACTGCGAGATGGCGGAGCAGAATCCTGCACGTGGTTGGACGCCAGCGAGACGGTGCGTGTCGCCGGCGCAGGGCGGCTGAGTGATGCGGCCATCCGGTCATCAGCACACCGCCCGCATACGTGAACGGCTATCAGACTCAACAGTAGCAGGATAAATCTCGATTGCACTGCGCTATTCCTTCCACAGCAGCGGGCCCGTTCGCCCTCGACACCAAGCCAACACAGAAAGATCTGAAGTGAGAGTAGCAGAGCTGGCGGCGACTACAACAATCCGTGCATCGTGAGCGCCGACTGAGCGGCGCGCCCTAAATCTCGCAGGTAACACGGGTTAGTACATCGGAGGAACATACGCCACTCAACGGCGCCCCGTCTTAACTACGGCCCGCGCGAGGCCAGACCGGCGCACGGCCCGATCGACACCAGTCGGCCGGCCGCGGACCGTTCGGGGGCAGCCGGCGCCGTCACCCCGCCCAACCTCTGCTCCGCCCCACGCCGCGGCGCTGGCAGCGCGGGCCTCGCCCGGCAGTGGCTCCTGCACGGAGGAGCGCCGAAAGACACGGTGCCGTCGCGGCGGCGCCGCCGCGGCCGGCGCGCCGGGCGGCCTCACCACCCGGACCGCCGGCAGAGTGGGGGCTCGGCTCGCCGCGCGCCCGCCGCTCACAGGTTCTGCCAGTCGGTCTGGCTGAACGAGTCCTCCATGTGGCGCGTCACCTCCTCGGGGATGCCGTGCGACAGCCAGAGCCGGTTCAGCTTGACGTACTGCTCCCGCCACAGCGTCAGCGGGTTGCCGCGCTGGAGGCCCTGGTCCATCTCGCCGAACTTGTCCACGTACGGCGGCGGCACGTTAGCGCCTGCCGCGGACAGCCCGGGGGTTACTCGGCCGCGCGGGCAAGCTCCCGCATGCGCGAAGGCAGACAGCACCCCGCCGAACAAATGGCGGACCCGACGCACAAGCAAGTGGGAGGACTTGCTTCATGAACAGGTCCACATCAACTCACCACAGACCTCGCTGACTCGCGAGTCTACCTACTCACATGCAGTCTCGATCGCCCCGCCCAGCAGGTGGACGGCGCTCACCCCCGTACGTAGACCCGCGTCGGCCGACTCTGTCGCCGCCCACCAACGACTCACCTCTGACTTTGTTGACGAGCAGGTGGACGCGACACTCCCGGATGCGCAGCATGACGCCGGAGCCGGCGCCACAGCGCATGAGGTGGGCGTTGCAGGCGCCGATCTGGCCGATCGGGTCCACCTGCACCTGACAGCAGTACGACTGCGAGCAGAGCAGCTCTCCGCACACCAGGCACATGGCCGGCACCCGAGACTCGCCGTCGCTGCTCGGGCACGTGAAGTCCGACACCTGGCGGCGGCCGGCATAGGCGCTCAGTGGTAGCACGCAAAGCTGGGCGCAATGCATGCACCCGGCGGTCACAAAATGTCAGAAGATCGCCCCGGATAAACTTGACGCGCAAATGGACGGGCAAACAGACAATGGACGGGCAAACAGACGAGGGCATAAGCCGAGCTGCCGAGGGAACCGCATCGGTCCGGTGTGCGCGCACCTTGTTGATGAGCTCGGAGAAGTCGTCGGGCAGCTGGATCAGTGTGTTGACGGAGAGCGGGTACTTGACGAGCGGTCCCCGGCTGCCCGACAGCTCCGGCCGGATGGAAGGGTGCTGACACCACCTGCGCGCACCGGGCCACGCCGGTCAGCGGCGGCGGCGACGAATGGAGATGGTCACGACACGTCGCATGCGGGACACGGCCGGCCGACGGAACGCTTTTGTGCCTGAGATGTCCGCCTACGCTGCTCCGGCTCAGGCAATTGAGCGGTGTAGCTGCGATACCGAAACACGGCGTCTGCTGACTGATTCTAGGAAACTGGTGGCTGATGAATGGCCCCTTGTCCCTTTCGCCACTGCACCAAGTCTTGTCGATGGACGAGTCCCATCTTTGTGCTTTACTGGACATCGACATTTATGGCTTGACAAGCTCGTCCGCGAGGACAAAACAGCATGCTCTGCTAACCACTGGTAACATTCTATGCCAGCAAGACAGCCGGACCACCCAGCACACAAACGAGACGGCGGCGCCCGCTTGAACGTGGCTCCCCAGCGCCGGCGCCCCGGCCCGGCTCACTTGAAGATGAGGTCCTGTAGCACGCTGTGGCAGTCGGTGGCCTGCGGCACACACAGCGAGTCGAGCCCCAAGTAGCGCAGCAGGTGCGGGTACTGCTCGGCCAGCGGCAGCGACTGCTGCAGCTCAGCCGGCGCGCGCACCCCCGTCAGGAAGTGGAAGTAGAGCGCGCAGCAGCGCAGAAACGGGGTGCTGCAACAGCGCGACGTCGTCAGCGATGGAGAAGAGCCACAGCAGACATGGACGCCTGCTCCGCACAGACCAGGCTTTCGACGGTCACCGTTCGACAGCGGGCGTATAGCGTACCCCGACAGCCCAAAACCCGCCGGTGAACATGATCTACGGCGGCAAGCAAGGCGGTGGCAGTGACAGCAATGACAGCGCGCGCACGCGTCTACCCGCAAAGGAGCGTGATGTGACTGGCGGGAGGTCGCTCCACATGACATCCTCCTTGAGTGACACAAAGAGCAGTGACGACAGTGACACAAAGAGCAAATACAAAACAACTTAACAATATAAAACCTCGTGCTAGTAAGGCTCCGTTCCTGGTAGACTGAGGTCGCTTCAGACATTGGCAAGGCAGGCGGTTGCGTACACTGGATGGTTTGGCGGTGAAGCTGTCAGTTATTAGGTCAGACGACCTCAGAACTGTCGGTCATTGGGCCGAACTGTCGGTCAATAGGTCAGACGACCTCCAAACAACAGCCCGCCGGCGGGGCACCAGCGCAGCCACTCACATGGCGTTGATGACGTACTGCCGCAGCAACGGAGGGCTGACATCGGCCACGTCGATGCCGGCCGCCGAGCGGACCAGCGTGTAGAGCTCGGCCAGCCACTGCTGTTCGTCCTGGTCGGCCGGCTCGCCGTCCGTCTCCATCGGCTCCTGGCGCGCCAGCTCCGCCACGTCCATCGTCAGCAGCACCTGCACCAGGTGCAGCACCAGCGCCAGCCGCACGCACTGCAGGTCCTGCGGCAGCCGGGAGACACCGCCGTCCGTGACCTGACGCCGACGCCCACAGCCGCGCGCGCGGTGCCACTGACCACTCTGGCCACAGCTGGCTGCTGGGGCACCGAGCGGCTCGCGGTCACGGCGGCCCAAGAGGCTGCGGACGCGGCAGCGGCCTACCGCGAGCCGAGACCGTGTCGGCGGCGGGCGTGGTGACATGATACCGCTCGGGACTGACCGGGATCGGGCGCGGTGACATGATACCGCTCGGGACTGACCGGGATCGGGCGTGGTGACATGATACCGCTCGGGACTGACCGGGATCGGGCGTGGTGACATGATACCGCTCGGGACTGACCGGGATCGGGCGCGGTGACATGATACCGCTCGGGACTGACCGGGATCGGGCGTGGTGACATGATACCGCTCGGGACTGACCGGGATCGGGCGCGGTGACATGATACCGCTCGGGACTGACCGGGATCGGGCGCGGTGACATGATACCGCTCGGGACTGACCGGGATCGGGCGTGGTGACATGATACCGCTCGGGACTGACCGGGATCGGGCGCGGTGACATGATACCGCTCGGGACTGACCGGGATCGGGCGTGGTGACATGATACCGCTCGGGACTGACCGGGATCGGGCGCGGTGACATGATACCGCTCGGGACTGACCGGGATCGGGCGTGGTGACATGATACCGCTCGGGACTGACCGGGATCGGGCGCGGTGACATGATACCGCTCGGGACTGACCGGGATCGGGCGCGGTGACATGATACCGCTCGGGACTGACCGGGATCGGTAAGGTCGCAGGTTACCTCCGAGATGGTTGGATGGCACTGTATAAATAATCAATCCATTGAACAACTCAGATGTCCGAGTCTAGGGAAACGGGATCACAGCCGTCAATCTGAACGACAGAAAGTTGGATCAGGACTCCTTCTGGAAACCGCGTATCGTCTCACCGACCCAGTCAGATGAGCTCATGTACGGGGCTTAAGCATTGAAAAATGGCTACAGCGGGACCGTTTTCATTTGCCACCTGCTGACAAATCTGCTGACTTGGTCATGCTAGTCCGCACTAAGCAGCAAGTACTCTCCGCTGCCACCGCGGCTAGCCTTGTCGGACGATTGTGAGCTTGATGCGACATCCACACAGAGCCGCAAAATCAGACCGGCTATGGGGCATTTCAACCGACAAATTTTCATTCCACATACCGCAAGCTCCAGCCTTATCCCACGCCACCTCGTGCCACGCTGGCACCCACCCCATCTCCCCGCCGCCCCATCTCCCTGCCGCGCACCTGGAGCGACCCGGACGGCGCCGGGATGTCATCGGCGTGGTCGACGAACAGCGCGGTAACCAGCGAGCAGAGCGTCACCACCAGGCCGAACGCGTCCAGCCGCATCACGGTGGGCCCGTCGGCAGGCGGCTCGAGCAGCAGCCGCAGCAGGCGGCCGCACGCCTCCTGCGCCGTCTCCAGCGCCGCCACCACCGGCAGCATGGTGGCGCACACGTGCGTCAGCTGCGTCAGGCAGATGTCGCCGCGGCTGCCCAGCTCGGCCAGCAGTGGCCGGCCCGTGTGACGCAGCAGCTGCTCTGTGGTGTGCAGTGTGTAGGCGCACGTCTGCAGCGACATCAACGCCACACGCTGGTCGCCGAACTCGACGCCGGCGTCCAGGCCGATCTGTCGGCGAGGCAGTCCGTGAGGGCGCCACTGGGAGAGCGGCGAGCACCGGCCAAAACTGACGGCAGCAGGCAGGGAGGGGAGGAGAGCGGCAGGTGCAACAGAGCGCGGGCCACTCGCTGAAGGGGATAGCACAAGACAGAAGTGCTTTGAAGATTACCCTCTGGGATTTCATGCAAGCGAGACACGGGCCTGAAGCTTGGACGATGACTGGGTTCGTGGCCGACCCAAATGCTATGAACATTTGCAGGCTCGGATCCTCGGGCATCTCACATGATGTGTGCGAGGCCGGCTACAGACAGCACAACACTACCCGCATCCGTTATGTACTGCAATGTGCGACAAGCCTTAACACTGCATTTCCGGGTGTACATTACACTTATCTGTGCACCGACATCCTCATATTTATACATATGAACATAAACGTACATCATACAAGGAAACATACGTCACTAATCCAAAATCGCGTTGCAAATGTCATACCACTGCGCAACAATGACCCGCAGCAGGCTACCTGAACACCGGGCGGCCGACATGCCGCGATACACCCGGCGGAACGCACACGCGCCGGTGCAGGCCGCACGTACCATGCAGGGCACCATCGCGAACGTGTTCATCATCTCACGCGTCGAGGTCGGCGTCTCGGCTATCCGGTCGCCCTGCTGGACCTGCGCCCGGAACTGGTTGCCTGCGAGCCGAACAACGCGTTAACGCAGTGAGTACTTCAGCTCTGCGGCGATCTGGCGCAGGCCTCCAGGCGACAAGTTTATGTTCAGGTCACGGCCGGCGCAAGCACGAACCACCGGCGACGTAGGCTATCACCGTCGCGTTTGTCATTTGTCGGTCTCAGCAGCGTCGAGCACCGACCGAACGCCATCGCCTTGAAACGGAAACTGAACCGCTTCGCCATGCAACGTACATACTCTCTCTGCCGGGTCTATTGGGTCAGCAATCGACTGCAGCGGATTGTCCTCTTTGGCCAGTCTGCTGAACGCTTAAGAGGAATATCTCCCAAAAAGCATCGCCTTCTTCGTCGCGACACGGGTCGCACCAAGACGCAATCCAAGGCAAAGGAGCACCCGCACAACGTCCACACGATCGCCGCTCTCGGAGTCTTCTGCCGTACGCCGTCCAGCTCCGCTCGGTTGCGTCATGCCTACCTTCACGCTGCGTCATGTGCTTGAGCACGGCCTTGAGGCCGGGACTGCGGCAGCGCACGCGGGCCGGCTCGGCGCCCCCCGGCGCCGCCTCGTTCACACGCACCACCTGCCGACGCGGGGAGGCGCGGGAAGTCAGCGACGAAACGACGCCAGGTAAGGCACGGTAAGGCACGGCACGGCAAGGCACGGCACCGTACGGCACGGCACAAGGAGCGCGGTTAGAGCAGCGAAACGCCCACACTAGGCCTGCTCAACGACTCGACGAATCGACAGAGAGGCAGAATCGACAGACGTGACCGAACCAATAGATGGATAGATAAACCTGAGACAGCATTAGACGGAGTATGGGCAATTACCCCTTCCCCCACCTCGCAACGTAGGCAACATTTAACTATACCATTTAGAAGCAATAACACCACATAAGTCGATGATATTATTTGAAAAGGCGCAAGGCAAGAACTCGGTTTCCAACTAAGCAGACCGTGCCGAGCACAGACGCAGACGGACGTCGAACGGCGGGGGCGAATTCACAATGTGCTAGGACGCCGCGTGTCTGGCAGTCGGCAGCAACAAAAGATGAAACGCAGGCCACGAAGCAGGGCAGTTCAAAGACTTCGTGATCCCTCTGACATTATTGTGCGATGATGATGATTTGGGGTTTATAGCGCGCATAGTGAGGCCTTACTGACTCGACATATGCTTCGCTCCTGGCAATTTATTGCCCTTGAACAGCAACGATTACTCTGCCACATCACAATTACTAATGCCTCGTGATGTAGTACAAGGGCACGTGTGCAGTGGATGAAGCTACTGGGTCGGTGTCCTTGAACCAGGCTTCTCTTCTCACACTGCACGACATCCACCTGAGGCAAAGCCGGTTTCTTGAGTAACATGTGACGCAAGGTAATGGTCCAAAACCTGTCTGACACACGACCGAACAGCGAAACACATCTAGATCACAGAGCAGGCTTCGCCGAAGCACACACCAACGTCAAAGCCTCGTAAAGATGACGGCCTTCTGCCAGTGTCACAGAAGGCGTTCCCTGTGACTGGCGTTCCCTGTAATCGTCTCCCCCTTCCCATCCCTGCCTCCCTCCACCGCTCTACTTGAACTGTTTTCAACCTCCCGCTGCCTTTGGGGCGCTCTTGCTGCGAGCAGTCACATACATGTTTCCCATCGTTAAGAATGGATGGAACGTCCATCTTAACAACTATCGACTGATAGTCATCCCCATACGGTGGCAAACTCGCGGAAGGCGTGGTTTATTCTCAGTTGGTGAGCTGCTTATCGCACAGCATCCCCCACATCCAACAGCGTGGGTTTCCGCTACGGCAAGGCGCTCATTCGGCGGTGCTACATGTAATCGACCGCCTCGTCCACGGTACCGACCAACAGCGTTCTAAAATCCATCCAGTAGGATGTGCAGGATGCAAATATATATTCGCGATGCCATAAGTCTGGCTCTCCGGCAGTCCCCGCACGCAATACTGTTGGCGCTAAACCGTTGCTCTTTGACCCCGAGCCCAAACCTCTGGGCCCGGTTCCTAAGAGATACGACCCAAGCTCCGCCCACTGAGGTGGCGTCATAGATACATGCCAGCGAAGGACGGCTTTAATTCCAAATTTGGGAACAATGAGAACCGGCTTATTCAAACCCATGGAGACACAAAACGCGCAGAAATGGCGCACTTCACATGACTCGAATGAACAGTTCTTGGCAAGTTCTGGGCTGAAGGCATCATTGTCGATCACACTAGCCCCCTGCCATCGACAACTGCACATCTGATGAACCGACATACGGACTGACAACAACGCATTGACCGTTGCCAGGCTTTGCTTTGTCAACAGCGATGCCTTCCTTGACAAAAACGCACTTGGCCTCTAGGTCAAGAAGGGAATGGGCTTGGGCCGTGACGCCATACGTAAAGAATGGGCTTACCCCCGAAGTGGGGAATGGGCTTCCATTTGCCTGTGAACAACGGACCTCTGACCTGCCCGGCCCACCTGTCGAGCCTGAGGTGCTTAGATGCCGTGTTGACCGCCGCCCGGTTCGGTGCTGATTGGTAGATTTTGAGCAAGCGGAGGGGAAAACAGGATTGAGACCCAAGCCGAGACCCAAGGATGTAACTGCGCGAAAACATATCGACACCCCTGCCAGCCAAGTGGCCGAATGTTGTAACACTGCCGACCAAGCACCAGCCATCCCCTCAGACATCGTCCGGGACGTCAAAGGCTTCGACAAAGCAGTTCAGCGCTCTAAGCCCTTAGAAAAAGCACGTGGATGTGGGAAAGCCGGTCGACGTTAAGGGATCGGCTTGTCTATCGACGTCGGGGTGTCCAAAGAGGCGTTGCCATTGTCCCCACCGCCTTCAGCGTATCAATGTCTATCATAGCGCCGGCGCTCTTTCGATACACAATGACGTTGATCAATAGTGGTCATTCAGTGCTGCCGGCGACCGCGCGCAGTTCCGCCACTATGGCGACCCCGACCACGTAGCGGGCCCTGACCGGAAGACTGATGTGTCGGCCGGCAGAGCGCGGCGGTAGTGGTTCACTCAACGCACCCGAAGTAAACAACGCCAAAACTGATCTTGTTCTGCTAGTGTTACACTAGACAAACCCCGTCGAAAGTTGTCTGCGCAGATTCGTTAACACGTTTACAAACCTAATTGTTTACTCCGACGAAACGATCCAGCGACTGTTACCGGGCTGCAGCTGACTTCTGCTATTAAGAGGATTACAGCGGGAGACGGCCAGAATAAAACTTACCGCCAACACTATGGAAACTGCACTGGACGGCATCACTTCGCTTCAGCTCAAGGGCAGCGAACGCAAAGGACAACCAAACGCTGCCCGTTCTTCAGCGTCCATATCTTTCACGACCTCTACCTATTTCTCCCACAAATATCTGTAACTCATGATCTCCGCTGCACCCCCTATCCTCTCGACAAATCTTCTACTCCACCGCCTCTCCGCACAGCTCTACCCAGGCCCCACCCTCACTGTCCTCAGCCTCCCCCTCGCCACCCCCGGCGCCACCGAAGGCACTGACCGTGTGGGCGCAAGCCAGCTGCAGGCCCTTGATCCAAACGTTGATGTTGTCGACGGCGGGCCGGTCGTCTCCGTCGAGTGCCACCATGCGCGCCGGCACCAGCGGCACCACGGTGTTGCTCAGGCACTGGCATAGCGGGCACAGGAACTCGCGCTTCTGCACATCATAACTGAGGTTGTGCCGCAGCCTGCTGACGGCAGGGCGGCGTCAGCGGCCGGCCACACCGGGCCAAAACGCGGTGGCATTCACGGGAGTGAAAAATGGTCCTCACGGAAGTGGAACGTCGGTAACAAGACACGACACACGGGGAGGGGGGGGGGGGGGGTGCGAGGGGTGTGAGGGGCACAGATGGTATGCCAGATTGACTATGGTGCATGAGCAGAAAGCTCCACATGCAGCTCATTCATCGCAGGCATCAGTCATTGATTCCATGGACACCAAATGGTTTGATTCCACCGATGTCGCCATTCCAACCAAGCCAAGATAATCCCACAGACAAGACCATTCGGCTTTAACAAGAGTACCACTCCCCCATCCCCCCCCCCCCCCCCCCTGTCCACTGCCACATCTCGCCACAGCACAGACCGTCGCACATCCCTGGGCACGAGCGGCCCCCTCCTGCGACTCGCCGGCCGCCACCTCACCTGAGCGCGCGGCGCCGCTCCCGCAGACAGACGTTCTCGAAGTGGCGCTGCCAGCAGGCGGCATGCATGGCGTGCCCGCAGCTGGAGGTGTGCGGCAACCGGTGCAGGTTGCTCGGCACGTACAGTACCGGATTGGGCGCCTGGCTGGCGCGGTCGCGCGACAGCACGGTAGACAGCTGCACGAAGGCGGCCATCACCATGGCCGGGCGGGTGCTGGACACCTGCTCGGTGGCCTGGCACAGGATGCAGGTGTACTCGGCGGCGGCGGCCGGTCGCGCCGTCTGCCGCGGCCCCAGACACACGGGCCACTCGTCCGGGCCGGCGCACTCGCTCAAGTCCATGGACGAACCGGCGAGAGCACGAGCAAGCCCACCACCGCCGCCCCCGCCGCCATCAACACCACCCACGCCGCCGCCGCTACCGACGACGCCTCCGCCGCCTCCGCCACCACCACTACCACTGCCGACGCTGCCGCCGCCACCCTCAGCCGCCGGCCGCTCTTCCTCTTCGTGCTCGGCCAGCGCCGTCACGTTCTGCGCGATGAACTTCTTCTGCTGCGCCTGCATCTGGCCGAGGATGCGCGCGCGGCGGGCAGCCGCCTTTTCGCGGCGCCGCTTCTGCTCCGAGCTGGCGTCCTCAGCCGCGCCGGACGAGCTCTCCGTGGCGGCCGCCGCCCGGCCCAGCAGCCGGTTCAGCTTGGCCACCACCCAGGTCAGCAGGTCGGCGTGCGAGCTCACTCGTGGGTTGCCCACCTGCCGGCGGAAGCGCCAGATGCTTTCAATGCCGTGCGATGCACACGACAGTGCCCGTAGCTGTAAAATGATTGTTAACGTGCATCTAAACACAAATTAAAAGCTTCAGTCGCAAGACGTTTGTTCACCTGTGTCTGCATACAATTTAAAAACCGCGGACCTTACTGAGCTCCCGAATGCGAGTATTTGTATCCATCATACATCGCTACCAACGTACGCCACTATGCAGTGCTGTATGTACATAACATATTGCCCATATATTGCCCACGGCTCAACCGATAGCAAGTACGATGCTGAATTCTTCGTCGTGAGGCTGAGAGGCGAGCTGAGGGTCTGTCAGCTGGCGACCATTCCAAATCTCTCCACCGATGCAGGCAAGAAATCGGAGGGACACCACCTCCGGCCTTCTGCGGAAGCTATTGCACCAGTACACCGGCCGCCGCCGTCCCCATCCGACCCCCTCAGCTTCATCCATCCCTCACCATCTGCTGGAGGGCGTCGACGACGCCGGCCTGCTGGGCGGGTCGCGAGAATCCGAAAGCGTGACGCGGGTCGGCCGCCGCGCCGCGCTCCTCCTCGTTCAGTGCCATGCCGATCAGGAACAGCGTGCGCTGGAACATCGTCTCCGAGAAGACGCGCGCGTGCAGGTCCGACGACCTGGCGCGGCACGGCGGGCGGAGTTAGCGGAGGGCCGTCGGCGGGTGGAACGGTGGGGAGAGGGGGGAGGGGCACGCCGGTCACGTGGCCTGCGCCCGCTGCCGACGAGCCGCCCACGGTTCGATGGCAAATGTGATCTGGGCAAACGGGCAGCAAGAGTGATCGCGAACGCATTAATGCAAACACTGTCCTCAGCAATTCCATGGGGTTTCCCACTATACCATCAGGACTGTAGACCATAAACCTCCCTGCGCCAAACGCAGCACATCCCCCACCCACTACCGCCCCAACCCCACCGACACACGCGCACCATTCACCAGCTCCGAGCTGGCAGCGGGCGGCGCTCACCTCCTCAGCACGGTCAGCAGCACGTTCAGCATGGCCGGACACACGGCCACGTTGCGAGCGTTGCAGAACTCGGGCGTGAAGGGCGGCAGCAGGGGCGGCGGCAAGCAGGGCGGCTCGCCGGCCAACCGCTTGCGCCGCCGCTGCGCACCCTCGGCGCGCGATTGCTCCTCGCGCGTATAGTGGTACCAGAACGGGTTGTAGTCCGAGTAGAGCTCTGCCGGTCAGCAGGCGGTGTCAGCGCTGAGACGGACCGGCAGGGAACGTGGAGGTACGGGTTTGTATGCAGGAGCGTATGATGATGCACATGGTAAATGTTCGTATGCTTCGAATTGCGGATGAAACTTCGCACACTTGCGCTGTCGTAATAAAACGAGTGACACCAGCGTTGTGTAGTGGAACTGACAACAGTGAGCAGGTGGCGAGCAACGTCCAGGTTCCATATATAACATTTGACATTCTTTAGTCCAATGTCAGATCAAAACTGCCACCCGAGGCAGTGGTCAGCACTTCTTCCTCACACAGCACATCCACTGACTTGCCTCCTGCTAGCGCCTTCGCAGGCCCGGCCCACCCCTGACAGCCCAAATGGTCACAATCGTCGGCAAGCGGCGGCGCCGCAGCCCCTGCCGGCGCCGCACCTGGTCTCAGCTCGTAGACGCCTTTGCCGGTGCCGTGCTGCGGCAGCTTGAACTCGGCCACCTGGTCGGCTAGCTGCTCGATGCTCAATTCCTGGTGGTTCTCAGCCACTACCAGCTTGCAGAGCTTCGAGTGCGGCGTCGGCTCAATACAGAGTGACTGGATTATCTGCGGAGGGAGCGATGACCCGGTCACCGGTGTCCGGCCCCCCGGCTGGCAGCGGCGTCCGTCGGGCGACGCGTCACCCAACTGGCAGCGGAGCAGGCCGAGTGAAGGGCCCCCACCCGCCTTGGCATTGTGCCACAGTCACTGCACAAAGGTAGCGTTACAAATGCACACCGGCGCCGACTGGAGCGCTGCGGAGTGGCCCACACGCGACCGCAGGACGTCGCACGATCCTGAACGGACTGCTCCACCTGAAGTAGCCCCCAGCGCCTCCCAAAGTCTGCCGCCGGCACTGGACAGGGTGCAGCCCTGACGCACCTCCTTCTTGAGGCAGTCCTCCTTGGTGACGGCGCCCACGCCCGGTTGGTAGCGCTCGCCGAACACGTGGATCAGCACCAGGATCAGTTCCTCCAGGTTGTGGGTGAACTCCTGCACGGTCTGCACGAAACATGTGGCTGTCTCGCCGTCCACGTCCGGCGTCTGCGGCGGCGAGAGGCCAGGTGAGGTCAGGGCGCACACAACAGCGTCAAACACTCTTCGCATGTGCCCCCAACTTGCATTGGCTGCTGGACCGTGCTGCTGCCACGCTAAGCCGGATTCCGCTACAAATGTCAATGTCTCTCAACTCTAAAGCTGTCAACTCTAAAAGTTGGGGATGCAAGAAAACCTTGCATTTGACATGCAACTGAAGACTGTGATGCATTTTCTGAACAAACTTAACTTAATACATGCAAGCGGCTGGAGTCGCTATGGCTCTCGGGCTTGAAGGTACCTGGTGCCCTTGCTCTGTGCATACATGGGCATGATTCAGATGTAGGTGAGGCAAGATATAGCCATGGGTGTCCAGGTTCTGTGTAGCCTTGATTGTGCTTGAGGGTTTCAAGTGAGCTCGGTTTTGGATGACACCTTGAAACCTCTTAAGGGGAAACATGGGTTTGATATGTGTGGTTAGACAACATCAGGTAGGAGTGAAAAATTCAAATCAAACATGGGGGAAAGGAGTGAAAAATTTCATAGTGTCGCTTTACACCCAAAGGTGCCAATTCTAGGACACTGTTTTCATCCCACGGCCCGGGTTCGACGCAGCATTGGGACGAGCGCGCTCACGCAGACGTGCCGCGCACCCGGCACGCCCGTTCACCGGTCCAACCGTCACCTCCCGGGTACAGCCCAGCAGCTGGCCCTCCAACCCGGACGCCGCCTCACCCGGGTACAGCCCAGCAGCTGGCCCTCCAACCCGGACGCCGCCTCACCCGGGTACAGCCCAGCAGCTGGCCCTCCAACCAGGACACCGCCTCACCCGGGCACAGCCCAGCAGCTGGCCCTCCAACCCGGACGCCGCCTCACCCGGGCACAGCCCAGCAGCTGGCCCTCCAACCCGGACACCGCCTCACCCGGGCACAGCCAAGCCATTGGCCCTCCAACTCGGACGCCGCCTCACCCGGGTACAGCCCAGCAGCTGGCCCTCCAACCCGGACGCCGCCTCACCCGGACACAGCCAGCAGCTGGCCCTCCAACCCGGACGCCGTCTCACCCGGCGCATGACGTCCTCGAAGTTGGGGTCGAGCCAGTGGTGGATACCGTAGCGCAGCATGAGCGTCATGACGAACTCATCCGGGTCCTCCAGGGCGGCGGCCATCTGCAGGATCTGACGAGGCGGACAGGGCGCGTTAGGCCGGCGGACTGCGAGGACAGCACGGCCGGCACGGCTCCCACACGCACCATGAGACGCAGCAGCGCAACGGCGCGGACCGGGTTCATGGTTCAGTTGCAGAGAGCGAGATGTGAAGGACAGACAACGGACCACAGCCCGGCGGCCACAATCGCGCCATAGATACGCATAACGACGTTCTGTGCAGACCGATAAATACAATACACTGCACATTTGGAGAATAGCCCAACTTCAATAACTCCCCCTCCCCACGCCCCCTCCCCCGCCAAAAAGTATCTGTCGCATGTCTGTACATCGCATCGTTGCTAATAAAATCAATGTACACTTATCATCCCGATTAGCCTTTACACACTCCGCGACAAGTGAGCCGCATCCATTACGCGGAGGCCACGATAAGCACCATCTGTCCTGCCAGCGTCCGGTGCGGCCGCGAGCGGCGCCACGCCCCAGCCCGTTCCAGCCACTCCGCCCCGGTCCACCAGCCTTACCTGAATGTCCCGGTCCTGGATCTCAGCGCGGATGCGCACGTTGCTGTAGAAGTGCACCTGGCTGACCAGAGAGGTGCCGTTCCGACGCCACATGCCGGCGCGGACCTGCCCGACACGAAGTGGGGGGGGGGGGGGGCGGGGCGTCACCGCCTGGCGGCGGCGCCAGTACTAACGGCCGGGGTCGCGGAGTCATCGCGAGCCAGTGTCGCGCGCGGCGATTCGGGGGTGTAAGACGTCATCGGGCGTTGATATTGCTGGTGAATGGTGTTTAAAGCCTTATAATACAGGCAGGCGACGGCGCTGGTAATTCTGAATTGAGGTGACACGGGCAGTTGGTGATGACCATTTCGTTTTAGAGCCGTCATTGACCGTAAAAGCCCGAAACCTCTCCTGCTGGACTAACTAAGGGAAACACCACCGTCGACCTCCCGACCTCAGTGGGGGCGAAATCAAGCATCCCCTCCCCCCACCCCACATAGCCAAGCCGACGCCTGCGGAGGTGCCAGTGCCAATGGGACGGCACACGTCGTCCCTATCTGCCGCTCGGGCCCACCTGTGTGGTCAGGATGACGGCCCGCAGCGACGTCTCCACGATCTGCTGGATGGTCGGTCGGTTCTCCATCTCAAACTCGAACGCGTTGAAGGTCAGGCCGAAGCCCCCTGCGCGGCAGACGGCGGCGGTCGGAGGCGCCGACGCCACGGAGCTGGCTAGGCCGAACAAGAGACCGCGCCTCGCCCCCATCGCGATCGTAATCCCAGATCCACAATGTGGGCAAGCGGAGCGCGGTCACAAGCGGACACCGCGCATACAGGTAACTAGAATTTAGAACTGGGCGACGCGGCGGCTGGCGCTTTGTCAAGGCCGACGCCGCTGACAGCTGTTGCTATGGTCTAATCTACCCACGGCATGTAGACGGCTGACAGTGCCCGACAATGCCATGGCCAAAAACAGCATGCAACAAAGTGATGTTCCGAAGGAAAGGGTTACGGACTACAAGTGCCAGTTAAGTAAATGTACAAGCACCAGTGAGTGCCGTGATTTGTCGATCCTTGACCGAAAAAGCCGTCCGCGCCTCGTCGCCGGCTCCGGCCGTGGCCGACGCCGCCACCGCCGTACCCAGGTGCAGGTGGAGGCCCGCCAGCATCCTGGTGAGTGGCAGGTGCAGCGACACGGCGTTCTGCCACATGTCGAACTCGACCACGCGGAAGGTCTTGCCGACCGCCTCCAGCTGGGCGCTGGGCTTCACTCGCTCCGGGCTCAGCTTGCCGTACAGCTTCCGCAGCAGCGCTCTGACGCACGGCAGGGCACATTTCGGGTCAGCTTAGGACAGGTCACGTCGGCTCATACTGAGCAAACCTAACCTAGGTCAGACAGGTCGTTTCAGGTCACGCCTGACATATTGGGTTGTCAGGTCAGGTAAGACAAGGTTCACTGGATCAGAGGTGGTCAGGTCAGACCAGCCCGAATCATGTTGGGTAGGGTCGGGTCAGCATCGTCATATTAACTAGAACTGGAGACAACCGACTGTTGTCTGAGCAAATGGTAAGCTCAGCAGTCTGTGCCCTTGCAAGGCACTATGACCCAAGACAGCTAATGACATTACACAGACCGGAATGCAATATACGCACAATAATGAGCATGGTATTTGATTAATAAAGAGTGCCTTTTCTGTCACATGTGTCATTGTTTGGAACTTACTGGAGGGTATCAGAGAAACGAACGAAACTTTAGCAACAGTGACACAGGCCGACATCCTTCACGATACAACAAGCCGCACCCAGGTATCTACATGTGCCAAAGGCGTTCCCACACCACGGCATCCCAAACTAGGCTCATATGTGCTACCTGATGCCACAAGCATGCCTCCTCCATGTAAGAAACACCCAACCATCCGCCTCCGGGGGACATCCGACTCCTGCCTCCCGATCCCCCGAGCCTCCGAGCGGCGGTCGGTGCTGCACCAGTCCCCGACTCCTGCCTCCCGATCCCCCGAGCCTCCGAGCGGCGGTCGGTGCTGCACCAGTCCCCGACTCCTGCCTCCCGATCCCCCGAGCCTCCGAGCGGCGGTCGGTGCTGCACCAGTCCCCGACTCCTGCCTCCCGATCCCCCGAGCCTCCGAGCGGCGGTCGGTGCTGCACCAGTCCCCGACTCCTGCCTCCCGATCCCCCCGAGCCTCCGAGCGGCGGTCGGTGCTGCACCAGTCCCCGACTCCTGCCTCCCGATCCCCCGAGCCTCCGAGCGGCGGTCGGTGCTGCACCAGTCCCCGACTCCTGCCTCCCGATCCCCCGAGCCTCCGAGCGGCGGTCGGTGCTGCACCAGTCCCCGACTCCTGCCTCCCGATCCCCCGAGCCTCCGAGCGGCGGTCGGTGCTGCACCAGTCCCCGACTTCCTGCCTCCCGATCCCCGAGCCTCCGAGCGGCGGTCGGTGCTGCACCAGTCCCCGACTCCTGCCTCCCGATCCCCCCGAGCCTCCGAGCGGCGGTCGGTGCTGCACCAGTCCCCGACTCCTGCCTCCCGATACCCCGAGCCTCCGAGCGGCGGTCGGTGCTGCACCAGTCCCCGACTCCTGCCTCCCGATCCCCGAGCCTGAGCGGCGGTCGGTGCTGCAAGTCCCCGACTCCTGCCTCCCGATCCCCGAGCCTCCGAGCGGCGGTCGGTGCTGCACCAGTCCCCGACTCCTGCCTCCGATCCCCGAGCCTCCGAGCGGCGGTCGGTGCTGCACCAGTCCCCGACTCCTGCCTCCCGCCCCGAGCCTCCGAGCGGCGGTCGGTGCTGCACCAGTCCCCGACTCCTGCCTCCCGATCCCCCGAGCCTCCGAGCGGCGGTCGGTGCTGCACCAGTCCCCGACTCCTGCCTCCCGATCCCCGAGCTCCGAGCGGCGGTCGGTGCTGCACCAGTCCCCGACTCCGCCTCCCGATCCCCGAGCTCCGAGCGGCGGTCGGTGCTGCACCAGTACCGACCTGCCTCCCGATCCCGATCAAGAGCCTCCGAGCTGGCGGTCGGTGCTGCACCAGTCCCGACTCCTGCCTCACGATCCCCCGAGCCTCCGAGCGGCGGTCGGTGCTGCACCAGTCCCCGACTCCTGCCTCCCGATCCCCCGAGCCTCCGAGCGGCGGTCGGTGCTGCACCAGTCCCCGACTCCTGCCTCCCGATCCCCCGAGCCTCCGAGCGGCGGTCGGTGCTGCACCAGTCCCCGACTCCTGCCTCCCGATACCCCGAGCCTCCGAGCCCTCACGTACCGGTATGCCTTGACGAGTACCTGGCGGTCGGTGCTGCACCAGTCCCCGATTCCTGCCTCCCGATCCCCCGAGCCTCCGGGCCCTCACGTACCGGTACGCCTTGACGAGTACCTGGCGGTCGGTGCTGCACCAGTCCCCGACTCCTGCCTCCCGATCCCCCGAGCCTCCGAGCCCTCGCGTACCGGTACGCCTTGACGAGTATCTGGCGGTCGGTGCTGCACCAGTCCCCGACTCCTGCCTCCCGATCCCCCGAGCCTCCGAGCCCTCACGTACCGGTACGCCTTGACGAGCACCTGGCGGTCGGTGCTGCACCAGTCCACAAGGTGGTTGATGACGTACGAGAGCTTGCCGAATAGCGTGAACGCCGTCTGCCACTCGGGGTCGTACTCCAGGTGGTTGCCCATCTGGCGCACCGACGCGTCCATCCCCTGCGACAGAGGGCAGCGCCAGCCGCGGTCGAGGTCGGCCGAGGCCATTCGAGGTCGTCAGCCGGGGTCAAGGACGGCGACTCACGCGGCACCAGGGTCGCGCGTCGCTGCAGGGCGCATCACCTCCGATTCGCTTCGACAGCGGTTCAACGGCTTGTCTCCACCGGCCCATTTTGCACTTATGATTACGTGGTGCATGTGAGGCCTGTCACACCAGCCACCTCGCGCCGGAAGCACACATTCCAATCAAAGTTCTACGGAGCCAACCGGCCCTGGTCCCAGCGCACCGCAGTTGCTTGGCCCAAGCATTACGTTGTGTCATTACGTACGTTGTCAACGCAACGCGCGCTCAGTCACCCAGAGCATCGTAACAAGTATTGCAGAGTCCGAGCCGCACCGCGACCGACCGGGGAACGTCAGCGACATCCAGGCGTCAGACGCACCTCCATGATGGCCAGCACATCCAGGATGGAGGTGAAGCCGTGCAGGAAGCCGCGCCGCAGCTGCTCGGTCCACTGCGTCGGCCGCACGCTCAGCAGGTAGCGCAGGTCGTTCAGACAGTAGCTGATGCGTCTCCAGGCGACGTTGTCGCTGCGTGGGTTGAACGCTAGCACGCCCTCTGCGGGAAGCGGGATCAGCCAGAGGTCAGCCACGCTGCGTGGGTTGAACACCCGCACGCCCTCCGCGGCCAGAAGTGGGGTCAGCCAGAGGTCAGCCAGCGGCGAGGGCGAAGGTCAGGGCGGCAGACTCCACGGACACCGAAGGATCGCTCCCAGACAGAGAAGGATGCCTCCAAGAATGCTGCGGTAACTGCTGGATCGTAGGGATGAGGTGGAACGCAACGCGAGGGAAGGCGGTGCAAGCAAGGCAGGATCTGGGTATAGGATGATCTTGGTGACGAGCATCCCAACGCAAGCGCACAGAAATCGCCCGAGCGGGGCGACAAACGGGAGGGAATATTTTCCGCAGTTTTTAGCGCCGACACCTGCTTCACGTGTTGCGTCTAAACCGCGCGACACCGGCATGGCGCACTGCACTTTCCAACGCTCACTGTCCGTCCCTTCGCCCACTCTCTCCAGTGCGGAGGGGGGGGGGGGGGCGGACTGCATCCGGTTACAACAATGCAAACCGTGCGCGACCGGAAAAGGAGACGAATAACAGTACCGACGCTCCACTCCTCTCCGTCGACACTCACGCGTGTTGCGCCTGTTGATGCACTCGTCGTAGAAGGTGCGCGTCACAATCGAGAGGCAGTCCTCGTCGGTGATGAGCATGTGCGCGATGGTGGGCACCGTGTAGATCTGCACCGACAGACTCGTCACCGAGTCGCTGTGGTTGTGGTCGTCGCGCATGAAGTCGCGCATCAGATTCGGATAAAGCCGGGTGAACGTCTGTGGGAGGGCGTGGTACGATCAGCACGGGGACAGCGTTGCACAGCCGCGGCATGGGGGCAGCATGGCACGAGGTCAGCACGGGTCGGGGTCAACATGCACAGCCACAGCACAGTGGGCCATTGCCCAAGCACACAAGGGTGGACAGCGGCAGCTGAGTGAAATAGAACCGAAACGGCAATCACACATGTGTGCTGGAATGCACACAGGATGGACAAGCGGATAAACGGCTATACCCGGCTTGGCACGTTTTGGCTGCCCTTGGCCTCAGTCACCGAACCCACCATTGCATGCATGCATTTACAGCCATGCCCCTGCCGCTATGGATCTGCGCCAACCCAGACGCCGCGCCGCGGGGAATCCCCCGAGGGAGGCCGCCGCAAGCACGGCCGACCGACCTTTGCGAACACTTTCTTGCTGTCGTGCTCCATGAGCATGCCCTGGATGAGCAGCAGATGCCACTGGTTGCGCGCCAGCTTCCACAGCTGGGTGTCGGTCTTCATGACCCGCTCCAGCAGGGGGCCGTCAGCCGCCGGCTGCGCAGAGCGCGGAGAGAGTGTCAACGCGGTCAGGGAGGCGCCATCGCCCTAACATGGGGCTGCTCTCTCGACACAACCGGTTCTAGGGTGAATGCGGAACGTGCCAGCACTGGATTTCCAAGCGGCCTGATCGGCTTTGGAGGGGATGGGGGTGCTGCGATCCTTCACGTGGCTCGTGTCGGCTGGCGTCTCACAACGGTCCATGATTCGAGATGCACCGGAATACCATGCCCCAGCGGTGCAACGAGTACACGTTACCACACCAACAAGCGTGGACGCCGTTTCACAGGCCATATAGGATCGGCATGTCTTCCGAGAGCACATTTCAGCCATGGCTTAACTCTCAACACCCGATATTGCGTCTCTCGGTCACCGGCCCCAACGGTACACAACCGGTCCCGTGCGCCGCCGCCGTTGCTTACAGTCCCTCCCCCCCCCCCCCCCCCCACCTTCGTTCTCCCTAGCCCGCCCCGTGATGCCATTCACCGATGCCCCACCTCGGTGACGATCTGGCCGAAGAGGGTGCGGAAGCCGTCCACCTCCTCGATCAGCTTCTTGAGCCAGAGCAGCAGACGCATGGCGAACGTCTGGTGCGCCACCACGTGCGTGTGCATCACGTGCACCTTGTACGGCCGGTTGCTGTGACGGGTCGAGTGCGTCTCGAACACCTGCTTCGCCCGGTGGCACGTCTGCAAGAGCGGTCGGAGGTCACACGGGGTCACAACTCGACCGGGGCGCGTCGGGGTCCAGCCCCATATGTCCCGTATTTGGAAAACAATTACGTTCATTGGCAAGGGATGACGGAGTCATCCTCATCATCTTCCTGTGGTTCCGCAGCGTATCAAAAGCTGATATTTGCTGCTTGGACAACGCTCGGGCACTTACACCGGGCATGGCCGGGTTTAAGATGAACTTGAGCCAACAGACAAGCCCAGTAACGTACTAACTTGCAGTGTTGGAAAAAATCAATACTTCCTGGCACAATGTATACCAGAAGATTTTGTGCTCCAGGATTACGATTGGGTAAAAGGAAATATGTTTTACCCCACCATGACACAACAAAAACAGCTTATGGGAAAATTCCTTTTCCCTCTCCGTTTCAGGACATAATGAAACTAGAAGGTGCAGTGGCTTAGGACTTGCTGCTTCCATCATGAGCCATGCTGTTACCACCTAGCCATGTGACAAATCATGCATGGAAATGTGAAAATTAAGGTGTGGGAATGTTGAATGGAATCGCCTTTAAACAATGCCAGGACATGAGAAACGAGTAGCAGAATCGCACTGGTATGTAAATTGATCTGTAAATTAGCATGGCTCTCACTCTCTACGGACTACCCAAACCAACTCAAAATTGAACATGATGCTTTGAACAACTTGCCATTAACTGCGAACCACATTAACTGCCTTGGATGCAACGAGCGCTGACACACACCTAAGCACCTACCATAGACGACCACCGACTCACGCTCCTCCACTCACAGCCATGGTAATGCAAATGGGTGAATAAAGCAGTAGTGTTCACCTTATTCCTCGGAGAAAAACCAGGAACATGGAGACATAGTTGGTTTCCCTCCGAGGAATAAGGCTACTACTGTCTTACCTATGTGAACAATGTTTCTCGCCAATGCACTAAACAACTTACAAATAGGAGAATCACTCACGATTCAACGTCAGAGACGTCTCAACTATTTAGTGACTTGTGCCCACCTTCCAGCTAAGGTTGGAGGTTGAACAAAGCAAAACTCTCAAAGTGGCTCGAATAATTTGCCTCCTTGTGACTGATTTGTCAAGAACATGAATATTCCGCTCGCGCTCATGTCTTGAACACATTTATTAACATTTCGAGGAAACCTGTACAGAGATGGACATCACTGCGACGAAGGACTTATTTGATCTCGTCCAGAACCGCCATGTGGTTGGATCTCTGGCCACTATTTGGCATCCCAAGTACAAAAATGTAAAGGCAGCTGGGGATTTAAACGAATTCGTCATGTAAAGGTATGAAATTAAAGATGGTAATCCAAGTTTTACAAAAATATCCTTTAAAGTCGAAAAAGCGTTGCTATTAATAGCCAAAAAAAAAAACTGTTCGGAGTCAGTCACCTCACTCCAGCAAAAACACCAGGAGACCAGAGTAATATGAGCCCATTAATTTGGCCTGGCAAATTAAGGAAAAGGATTTATTGCAGCAAAAACACCAGTAAATTAAAACATAAACTATTATATTTCGCAATGATCGGTTAAAGGGCACACAAGATCCACTAACACATTGCATCATCCGCCGGGGTCGGCGGAGTCACTGACTCCAATCCCTTTTGGCCGGCCTGGACGGGTCTGTCAGGCACTGTACTTAGGCTGTCTCGGTAAATCGGTTGAGAGTGCTGCCTATCTCTATTGTTCGGCCGGGACCTGCGGGGCCTCGTGTGCTGCCCAGGAGTTCAAAGGTGGAGGAGTATGAAGGTTTTGCCGTTTTAAAGCCAGTTACCAGGTGGAGCGTGAGTAGCGTGACCATAGTGGAGCGTGAGTAGCGTGATCGCGGTGGAGTGTGAGTAGGTCGCCATCTGTGGCACACTCATTGGCATTCCTTTCAGCTCCATTTTCCCTGGTCAGCTCCAAACTTATTCTGCCAATTTGCACACCTCACTAAGCAGCTTGTCGGTGACTTTGGGAGAATCGCAAAACATGCTTATGATTTGCAGCAATACTTTGGGAGAAAAAGGACTTACCTAAATCCATGGTACAGTATTAGGCTTTTTTACAGATTGTCCACGCATCTTTATGCACATGTGCTTCATGTCATCGTCTAAGACTGTGGTGTTTTAGTGTGGCACGTTTAATACTAATGTTTCCTTAATTTGAAGTGCCTTTACATGCATTGCTATATACGAAAAGTGGTGCTTCTGTTGGGTACCACCCACTGTGCTTTGATCTCCCAAAGACCGCCTAAACAAAAGTGTAATCACTCACGGCACTTGTAAATGTTTTACTCCACTTTGTAAACTATATTCCGTTAGCAGGATTTTTTTTTCAATTTCCAACACTGCTACTTTGGGATCAATTATGAACTCACAGGCCGGTAGGCAAGTACTACAACTGACATCCACCGCCACAACAGCGCATTCGCACACTCGGTCTTGTTCCCTCACTGGCAGCACTTTGCCGCAGTATGGAAAGGAGCCACTGGTTGATGCCAAGTTGCCCACTCCAACCTTTGATGCCGCTCACCACAGAGATCGTGGAAAAACGGAGCACAGAGGCAAGCAGCCCCACGAAGCCAAAGACATATTTACAATAATAAACCAAATGTGATCAGCACAAACGTGGGCGCAGCAGCTGCAGCTGCTGCTCTCCTCCCCTTCCCCTTCCCCCCCCCCCCCCCCCCCCCATTCCGCCTGCTTCAAATATATCTGAAAGACACGGTATCAGCTCTGCGACATTTCATGTCACGGAAATAAACAAAGCCTTGCATTGACCCCAGAACATCTATATGCTTCCTTCCCCCTTGCCTGTGGCTTCATCCCTGAGGTAAAGCCACCAAAACATCAGCTGACCCCCGCCAGCAGATGGCCGTCTGAGCGCCGGTTCGCCGGTGCGCCGCCTACCTGGAAGTCGCCGCACTTGACGATGCTGCGCCCCACGCGGTCGATGATGGTGGCGTAGTCGACGGCGTCGCGCTGCGAGCACTCGACGGCGCGACGCAGACACTCGATCACCTGCGGCGGTGCGCCGGGCGGCGTCAGCTGGCGCTGCGGGGCGCGGCTGGCGGCGGCGCCGCGCCGGAGCGGGCCCAGCACCGGGCCACGCGCTCCTTACAGGGGCGCGGTGAGCGCCGAGGGTCGCGGCTGTGACGCCGTCATTACGGTACGCACGGCCGCAGACCGAGTACGGCTCACAGCAACGACGACACGATTACGGTGCTCCGACACACCGGTGAGAGTTCAACCGGATGGCACAACTTGGAACTGACTTCGAATGACCCCCGAGCTCTACCTCATTCTTAGCAGCGACGTAAGCCAGCCCGCATTGGGCGGTTCGTGCGCACACCACCCTCCCAGCTCATCGTCTCAGCTCCGGCCGCCCCGCCCCATTTAGAGCCAGCCAACCGACCTGCTCGAAGGTGTGGGTCTCGTCGTTGTAGAACATGGTGACGTAGAGCGGCGTGTGGAAGGGCTCGGTGCCCGCCAGCAGGTCGTCTGCGTCGCCGTCGTGTTCGGCCGGACACCGCAGGTCGTGAGGCAGGCCCATCGTGTTCTCGTGCATCAGCATCTCCAGAGCGTAGTCCAGAACTGTCGACACACACAGTATGGCTGTTAATGCCGCCCCGACCAGTGGGCCATCATGATCTGTGACAGGACCTCCGGCACAGCCACTTAAAAGAAAAATGACATATTTTGTCAAAACTAGTCCAAACATGAGCCAGAAGGCAAAATGGGGACTGATGCACAAACACTAAATGTCCCACCATATCGCAGAAGGACGCAGGTCCGATCAGTGAGGCCTCGCGTTTTGGTCTGCAATCGCAACTGAGACGTATTCACATATCTCTGATACACGGCCTGTGCCTAGCGCACTGACCCTTCGGCGGTCTCTGCCCCAGCCGCGCGTACACGGCATCGTCCCCCCCCCCCCCCCCCCACCCCGCTCCGCTGCGGGACAGATGGACACCCTCGCCAGTCCCGCCGGGCGTCCCGCGCGCACCTGCCGCGAAGACGGCGCGCGCGCGCTGCACGATCTCGGGCGGAAACTTGAAGAGCGAGCTGGTGCCGCTGCCGGTGGCATTCTTCTCGTGGATGCTGCAGCAGAAGTTGTCCTTCCAGGCCTCGCGGTCGCCGCAGTCACAGTAGCCGCCACCCACAGACTGGTTCATTTTGTACCTGAAGGCCGGTGACGTAAGCAGGGGTCTGCTGGGGTCTGCTGAGGAGAAGGGGAGCCAGGGGCAGCGTACCAAATTTCGCCCAGTTGGGAGCTCAGGATATAACGTAAATCCACGCTGCCAGACTTCTGCTCCACGACGGCATCCGCACGTACGTTTTGGTACATACTCATATGCTGTTCTCTGGCCCCGTGCCCTGGCATCTGCCCTACCCGGTCCATTGGCCTAGCTGGAATGCTGGTTTGTTGGCCGTCCGGCTCGATGCTGATTGGTCTATCATGAGATGAGCAAGGGTGAGATGCGAGCAACATGCAGTGAGCTCGAGCCGGGGGTGCGGATGACAAAATATGGGCACCGATACCAAACAAGCGGCGGGAGCATTGACACACTGGCTGGGCTGACGAGTGGTGTGAAATGATGTTTTCAAGTCAAGCTCTGTCCCGTGGGGGGTGTAAATCTTCAGTGCCTCGACACTCACGCCATGAAGTCAAAAAACCTGAAACCTCTATGTTAGGACATATAATAAATACATAATGTGGCATGCATGAAGAGCTCTCAAATATCTTCCTGACTTGGCAATGGTGTAAAAGTCGCTACCGACGCAGCATAAAAGAGTGAGAAAGTGAAATCGCAAGAGAGAAGGAAAAAAGAGTGATGGGGAGAGAGGAGAGGGAGAAAGAAACAGAGAGAGAGGGGGAGGGTGAAAGAACAGGATGAATGGAAAGAAAGGGGGTAAAGATGAAGACAGGGATAAGGGAAGAAGTGGAGAACATTTGAGGGAAAGCACGGTATAAACAACGCAGATGGAAGAGAGAGAGAGAGATAGATAGATGAGAGAGATAGAGAGAGAGAGAGAGAGAGAGAGAGAGAGAGAGAGAGAGAGAGAGAGAGAGGAGAGGGAGAGGAGAGCGAGAGAGATAGTAGAGAGAGAGGAGAGAGAGAGAGAGAGAGAGAGAGAGAGAGAGAGAGAGAGAAGAGAGAGAGGAGAGAGGAGAGAGAGAGAGAGAGAGAGAGAGAGAGAGAGAGAGAGAGAGAGAGAGA